TAATAGCTTGACCACTACTGCTGCTACTCATGTTTGATGTAAATAAAAAAATACATGTCTAGACCCTCAATAGAGGGCATAGATAAGTGGTTCCTTTATGTAATTGAGCTAAAAAGGTAAATAAAAATCCAATAGAAATAACACTGAGCGATCTGTCCTATTCCATGTATATCTCCCTGCAGAGATAATACGTGGTTGGACCTCATCAGAACCAGATCTTTGGCGTAAAGCGTCCTCCACAAATGTGGCTGCAATGAGCAGTATGCAGATTTCAAAAATGTGTATGCTGGTTCCAGGATTGCTGAATGTTACTGTAGTGACTGACTGGCAACTGCAGCAGACTTTATGCAGAAATATTTTCTGGAGGAGACAAGGAATTTAGCTGGACTCAAAGCTAATGGAAGAATTTCTTCCAGCTTTGATACCTCATCAAAATGTAGGCAGGAACTTCAATTTTAGAAAGTCACTGAGCTTCAGAATTGTTCATCTCTCAGCTCTGTATGAGCTTGATAGTGTTTAATGCTACATTCTTCGGTAGGAATATGGGTGACTTGCAGATGGCTGTTGGATGTTTTGGCTGCATTCTCCAGAGTTGAAACCTGCTCTCAAACTGAGCATTTGAGTGAAAGATGAAACATTTTATTAGGGAAACGGGCCCACAGACCATTCCTGTCCTCTGCCCAGTTTCTGGGGAAATGTGCAATGGAGGATCTTGAATTGCAACAGGCTGATTCCCTTTAATGATCTGGAGAGGGTGGACAGCAGCGGATTGCACCAGAGGGCTGGGAGAGCAGCACCCCTTATTCTTCCTCCCATCAAAAAGGACAAACTTCTGCATGTCTCATCACTGGAAGCAGGTGAAGCTGTTGCTCTCATTTGGTTGGGAAACAGTTAAAACAGCCAGTTGCTCCTGGGAGCTTTAACCAAAAATCAAAACACCACCTTTCTCAAAACAATTCAGACATGCTCAACCTTGTGACTTCAGCAGAAGTGGCAATGTGTGAGTTCCCATGAACTCTGGCTAACCTCTGAGATTTATTGATAAATGAAAAAAATAAGGGGCCAGGCCCTGAAACCTTTTCTTACTTAGGCACTAGTCTTGGTGTGTTTAACAAGAAGCCCAGGGCTGGGTTCAGGATGTTTACTGCTTTTGGAGATGTCAAGGAAAATGAGCTTGAAACAGTTTGCAAAACCAATGTAAAGAAGAGAAACCTGTGATTTTTGTTCTGAACTGCCAGCACAGTTGTAGTCTGTGCATTAAAGCAAGTTTAACATAGAGCATGTTACCCTGCTCAGATAAGCTGCACAGGCACTAATGGTTCTTCTCCACATGAACATGCATGTCCTCTGAAAGCTTCATCCCTCTTCACATGGAGTCTTGCTCACGTTTTGGGGGGTGGTGCTGAGTTCAGTAGGGTGCCAGCCTGCAGCCACTGCTGGTGTTTGGGTGAGCTGTTGGGTGGCTTTGCTTCACCCCCTCTTTATCACAACTAATTGAATAGACAGTGAAGTTTTGGGGAGAAGGAATAAAACTTATGATGTCTCCAGGGTTCTGTGATTATTTTTTCTCCGCTGAGTGAGCCTTTTCCTTTGTCAATATTTAAAGGGAAAGGTTTTATTTGTGTGTGTTGGGTTGATGCCAGAACTAAGGAGAAATGATGGAGTGTGCGTGTAATTCTGCCACATTGTTTGTTGCATACATTAGCAGGTGCAGAGACTTTTGAGATGTATTGCTCTACAATAAGGATGAATTCTATTTGGGAAAATGTACAACTGTAATCAAAAACAAATCTGCCAAGATGGCAGTAAAATTAGTGTCTCATTATGAAAATGTTTTTATATAGATGTATAGCTGTAGATACATATTTAGCTGCAATCTCCAAGATACTTTTTTTTATACACACTTCTAAACTAATTCATCCCTTTTAGATAATTGATGAAAGGCAGATGTAAGTATATAGATATGTTTACACCTTTTCATGAGGTTAACCTGCAGCCCTCTGCATTACCCTGCACAAACTTGTGCTGGTGGGGGAAGATGAAGTCCTTCAGCTTAAAGCAACCAAGAAACATGGAAGACTCTTTTCAAAAGGTGTGATAACATTTGTTGAAAATTAATTATTATGAATTGAGAATTAGAGCAAACCAACAAGAATGAGTTTTTACTGCTCCTTTCCTTTTGGTCTCTTGAGAAGGGTTGAAATTCTTTGGAGGATTGAACCACTCTGTTTTGTTCCAGGATAAAGGGTTCTAAAAGGACATAAGGATGTGAAGTGCATGTAGTTAATAGAATTTACTTCCATGTACAGGCTGCTTCACCCAGTCACAGAGTATTTATTGCAGGTGAACCTGTGAGGAGGGATGGTTGGATGTGACCTTATGTATTTTCCTCAGGCTGGTAGTAACTCTGCATGGTGTGAGTAAGATGGGCACTGAGACAAGGCACGGGGCATGATCCTGCTCTCTCTGCACAGATTAAGATCCTCTTGTCCAGGAATCACCCTAGTTGCAGACATGTGAGCCTTTAGGAATGCAGGAGCAGGACTGAGTTGTGCATCTCAGTTAACATTTTTGTGCAGAGGTGAATCACAATCCACAAAACAAAAGGGCTTGCTGTTTTCTTTCCTGTAAATGCTAATTTTCCAAACCTTTTTTTGGAGGGGGTTTAGCATTCTCATTTATAATGGTAAAAGTGAGTGAGAGCAGGAGGTTTGCATGCAGCGGAAGTAACTGTGGCTGCAAAATAATAGATGTCTGTTATTCAGAGGGAAAGTTTGACCAGGTATTGTGCTTTGAAAGCAAAACTGAATGCCAAACCTTTCCCCCTTCTGATGAACATTCAATATCAAGTGCAACGCTAACCTAGTATTGATTTATTTTTTTCAGTAAAGAAGCACATCTCCATGCTTCACTGTAATTATGAAAATCAGTGTTGATTCTTGACATCAACCTTTGCAGAATGTACAGCGGCCCAGGAGAGACTCATCATTTCCATGGATCAGTTGCCTGCTATGTGTAGTGGCCTGAGGCATGGAATTATCACTGTACTTGACTCCAGACAAACTTTGGAGTTACGTTGGGGTGCCAGCGTGTCTAGCTAGCATGACTGTATTTTGTGGAAGGCCCTCTCTCAACTATATTGCCAACACATTCAATGCCTGGAAACATTTGCAAACAATGGCCTCCAACAAAGGAGCTGTGGCTGTGTAGAGGAAGCTTGCTAGCTGGGATTGACGTCAGCTGGAGTGGATGCTGACCAAACACCGGCATCTGTTGGGCTAATACTTGTCATTGCCCAGCTGCACTTGGCCACAGTGCTTGTGTGTGCCCTGGGCCTGGTGAGGGTGTGTCCCATTTGTCTTCCTCCTGCGGTCTGTGATAATATATAAATCCTATCATCCTAGCTTATGAGAAAAAGCTTTGCAATCTCAGGAGCACTTCCACGGAAAGAGGACACTTATAAATATACAAAAACTCAGCAGGATTTATTTTTCTGTAAAAGAAAACATGACTGTGACATATCGCCTGTGAACGAGGAATCATTTTTCTTTGATGCAAAATTACTTAGTCTTAGGAATAACACTCGTATGCAATTTTGTGCAGATAGGGCCTGCGTTTTAAAATGACATCAACCTAGCTTTTAATTTTGCAGGTGTAAATTGCACCTGCAAATCATTTTGTCTGCAAACTGCAACATTTCCTATTTGATTTCCTGAATTCTTATAGCTTACTTAACTGATGTCAGTTAGTTATTTAGATGTACAGCTTTGCCGGCACTAGTATTTCAGTAACAAAATTGCAGTCTCAGAGCTTCAAACCCATTTCTGAACATTTGATGAAGTGAGGGGTTAGGACATGTAGCCAATCCACTGTTCATACAAATCTATTGATACTATCCTCCAGTATGGGATTAGTGTTGGTTATCATGGCAAAACACAGCATCTATGGCATCTGTTGAACAGCTTGATCTAATCAAGCCAAGAAACTGTGCAATTTACAGCAAGATTCCTGGTTGCATTTCTAATGCGAACTACATTTCTAATGTGAACTACATTTTGTCAGTCTCAGTATCGTTTGCTCTTTGAAGAGCTTTATTTCCTATTACCTTCCTTTTCCTAGCTTTGTTTTCAAAAACTAGCCACTTACCTAGTTTAAAATTACCAGTTATCTGTTGCTTAATAACGATTGTGGTGTGTGGGTATTTCACTAGTGACGAGTGTGTATGTATGTAGGCACACATGTAGTCAAAGCTGCGGGAGAGTTCCTCCCCACCACCATAGAAGACTACATTTTAAATAAAAGCCTCTGCATGCTTTTTGGGAGGTAGCTGGATACAATTAACTCAGCTGCAGTAAGAATTTTAAAACTTAAGTATTTCACCAGAAAAGCCTTTGGAAAAAAAAAAAAAAAAAAAGGGCAAGAAAGTACATACAGCTTTAGTTTCTTGACAGTCACATACCAGTTGCTAGATTGAGGTACTGAAACCCAGAGTTTTCTCTTTACCCCGAGGTGAGCCAGAACATGTGTTGTGGGAAGGTGGGGACAGTGCCAGCGACTCAGGGCCTTGCTTCCCCAGCAGGCATCAGCCCACGACTGCAGGGCGAGAAGGTTGTTCTGGTTACGTTGTCCTGGGTCTGGGCTGAGATTTCCTAGAAGAGGAGGCTCGGCGGGCAGCAATGCCTGTTGAAGAGTTGGATGGAGACACATAAGCTCATGTTGTGTTGTGCTCTGGCAGCAGAGGTCTCCCAGCATTGCTGCTTGCCTTCTGCTAAAGCGGGAAATTCAGTCCTGTAAAGTAACTCAGTTAACTTTAGAGCATTGCAAGGGTAGGGGTCTGATAACATATCACCAAAGTTCACCTTGGTAGTTTTGTATCACTGAAAGGTTTTTGATACGTGATGAAAAGCAAGTACTCAAACCTGGTTTTTATATGCCTAATTTGTTACTGTATGCATAGTTTGCATAGACACTTTACTTACAGTCTTCTGTTATTTTAACAGGGTCGCCATGTTAAGACTGGGCAGCTAGCAGCAATCAAAGTGATGAATGTTACGGAGGTGAGTGCAAAACCAAAAATAAAAAATTTGTTATCAAGGTGCAAGGAAAAATAAATAATCAGATCATGAGAAGGTATATAGCTTATAAAACACAATCTAGTGATATAAATTATGACTGCTGAGCACTGGTTTGTGTTTTACAAAGTGCTGAGAGGTGTTAATACAACCAGATTTTTCAGTTGTACCTGACCAATGGTGACAAAGCAGTAAGGGAATGCATTGCCATATATTTTGATGGTCTATAATAACAAAGAAAAGAACTCTCTTCCTGCTTATTTCTAGTTGATTATCTGTTTCCAGAGATAGCAAGTAAAAGATTTCCTGTAGCTCTGCACTGCCCCTGCTGTGTTTCATCACATCCTCTCCCGTTGTGTGCCAGCCATTCCTCAGAGTAGCTACCCTGACAGCTAGCAAGCAGGAACATGTTAGAAATGCAAATGTAGCGCTTTTTTATTGTTATTTGACAGATGAGAGAAGGAGACAGTTTATTTGACACTGTCCCTGCTCACATTTATAAAGTAGTGTCAGTGCCGGAACAGGGTGTCGAAAAAGTGTTGAAAAGAATTGATTTTTGTTTCTCGTTTTAAGAGTGCAGCCAGTAGCAAAGCAGCTTGCCTCCTTGAGACCGTATTAGCCTGAGCCCCTGAAAGATTGAGGAGACTCCGTGCTTTCTCTTCTCAAGTTCACTGGAAGTCTGTGCTTTGGTGGGATGCACCTAGTCTCGCTGCAGACTAGCTCCCCATTCTGTCCCTCTGGCAGTGTAGATATGGAGTACAAACACCAAGATAATGTTTGAGCCCTCCTGTGATGAAGGGTTATCGCCTGAAATAGAAAACAGGGCCAAGTCCTCTAGGCCAAATCTGCCAGTGGTACATCTATGCGTGCTGTTTTGGGCAAGCACAAGCAAGTCCTGCCTGTGTTTTTGTTTGTCTTCTGATTGTCTTGGAAGACAGCAGAACAAGGTGGTGTCTGCGTGGGCCTTGTCAGGACAGTTCTCTCTGCTGATGGTGTAGGGATCCAGCCCTAAGCAGAAGGCGGTCTGAATTGCACAGGGGTTTTTTGAACTTTAATGCTTTTACAAAGCATATCTAAGGGCTGGTTTGGCTATGGCTGTTACCTTGTATGCATGTGTAGTTGAGCTGCCAGTTTTGCTGTTCTCTGTGCACACAGGGTGCGTTTTTAAAATAAGCACTACATTATATTGGTGAGATTTTTGCTTTTAGCTCTATAGTTACATATATCATCAGGTGCTTTGGCCTTAAGAAATGGTAGTCAGCAAACATGAGGCTACTGGGTTTTGGACGGGAGAGGGGATAGGGTTTGGGTCGCAGACACATTCCTGAGATCAGAGCACCTCTGTCCGTTGACAGAGGAGCTGACAGGACAGATCCTGGCAGGGACCCAGTAGTGATCCTGAGCTTCTGTATGGACTGCTTTCACGCTTTGCTGGGTCAGTCAACAGTGCGTGAGGGCTGGCCAAAGATGTCACTTGTGTGCTGTCATGTTAACACCAGTGACAGTCCCTTCCTTGATGAAACAATTGAAGCAAAAACTGCAGGAAGGGAACCTTGGAAAGATTTCCTTCCCTTTGCTATACATAACACGGTCTCCTTTGTATGTAAGCAACAAACTGTAGGATCCAGTAATGCCTGCATGCTTGGAAACAAAATTTAAATGGAGGACAACCTTGTGGTCCAGCTTAAGGAATTCAAGTTGATAGACTTGCATGATTCTAAGAACAAAACCTAGCCCTTTAGGTCTGATTTACTGCTTCCTTGAAGGCTAGAGAGCTGGTATCATACTGGGGAACTCGTCCCATTGCTTGAGGGGCAATGATAAAACGTCATGCTGTTTTCATGTTGAGTCACCTAATGTGAGAGCAGTTGTGACGGTTTGAGAGTTGAGTGATGCAGCCCACTTTTGAGGGGTTTTCCCTGGTGCTCTTTCCCCACTAAATCCAGTTCAGCTGTACTTGAGTGTTTCTGCTTTCTGACCTTGGTGCAGGGTGAGTGCAAGGCTTTCTGCTGTTACTTCCACTTTCTTAATGCGGGATTGGCTGTGTTCCCACTGCTAGGGCAGAGGCTGGCAGACCTGGATGCAGTCCTCCACTTTATCACTGGTTCCCTCCAGGCCCTCAGCAGTGCCTCTGTGAGATGTTGGGAGACCAGTTCGGAGTGATAAGCAGCTGTCTGCTCTGCCCTGGGGTTGTCAGCCACCACATCTCACAGCTCGGTGTGCTCTGGTAAGCCCCGAGCGCAGCGGGCTGTGGGTGGCTCTGTGCAGCGGCAGGGTGGGGCTGGCAGCTGTGGTCCCGAGCCCTTCACACACCTCTGTGCTTATTCCCGGAGCGCTCGGGGTGAGATACGTGCCTGCAAGGAAACAGGGTTATTGCTGGTCTCCTGAGCTGATCTATCTGGCCAGGGGCTGTGCCGTGGTCTCTCGTAGCGCAGAGTGGGTGGGATGGTTGAAGCCAATGCATTCCTGCTCTGCAGTTGCAGTAGGCAGGAGCTTGGGTGTGGCTGAGGCTGATGCTGTACATGTCTAGGGCATCTCTGAATCTCAGTTCTCCTGTAAAATAGCAATAGCTTTTCTCTGCTTCACAGCATTTGTTACTGAAGCCTTTCACAGCAGTGGTGGGTCCTAACTGTAACACAAAAATCCTTTTAATCTCTAGAATTTGTGTCATAAATTCAGAGCCTGTCAAGGATTCAGTATTGCTCTGGCATTGTTAGTCTGCTCAGGTGTAAGTTATTTTCTGATCCTTTGGTCCTGAAAAGCTAGCTTGAGGCATTAAATAAAGTCTTTAATATATTGAAATCCTCTTCTCCAATGTCCTGCCTATAAATGGCACCTGAGAGCAACATCTCACATGGAGTTTGGCTTGTGAGAAATGAAAGCTGTCATAGTAAACCTGCTTGAGTGAGACAGAAGGCTCCTAGCCCCCGTGGCCATTTTCATCTTTGGGTGGTTGCATGATCTGATTAGTGCTGCATGGGAACAGTTTTCTTAGGGAGTGAAAAATTTCATGTGATAGAAAACAGGAAGATAAAAAACCAAAATCAAAACAAATACAGTCTTCTTCCCTTCATCCATTTCCAGAATAAGTGGAGAAAAGCTGAATGCCTGGATTGACCTTGTGATTTGTGTACCTGCTTAGAGAACTCCCCAGTGTAAACCTCCAGTAGATCTCTCTCATTCACATTGGGGCAGTTCCAGAGCCTATGCCAGTGTAGGCTGGTGGTGGTTTGGTCACTAACCTGCTCAGTAACAGGTCAGTGTTGTCTGTTTTGGGAGAGGATAGGATTGAACAAGGATATCTCGTATCCTAGGGGTCTGAACTACTTCCTTGCTACTGGGATATTTTGCAGTGTGTTTCTCTCCCCCAGCATCATGTTTTCATCACTAGAAAATCCAACCTGATAAGTCTTTCAGCTATCATTTCATCATAACCAGTACATTTCTGCCAAAAGAGTTTGTTTCACCAAATCTATGTTTTGAAATCATTTAATCAGAAAGTCCCTGACTAGCTCCAGCTGGGATTGTTCAGCTCTAAGATTTGGGGCACGCCAAGAGCTGAGCAAATTGGCCTTTTGCTGTCATGAGCTGCAGCCCTGGGCCAGTTTCTTAAGAGCGGCAGCAGGATGCTGTGGTCATTGTGGGATCCTCTGGACATCTGTCAGGAAGTGCTGCTGTGTCGCGTTACCGGGGGAGCCCTTTGAAATGGTTGAAGGGGAGCAGAGGGCAATGTGTGCTCATGTGCTTCTCCACACAGGCTCTGCTTCCTGTTATCTGACAGTGCCAAGCAAGCAGAGTGCTTGCGAAGAGATTGGATTCTTGCTGCTTTTCTCTTCAGCTATCGGTGTAGGTGATCAAAGAGCATTTCTGCAGCAGGTCATTCTCTGTCTGTCCTTGCTTTCAGTTTTTCCATATTGCAAAATAATATTTAAAAAAGAAACTTGTCATTAGAACTGCCCCAGTACTAAGGGGTCTCTTGGTAGAGTATTTATCAACTGCTGATCTTGTTTCCATTTGAGGTCAGAGGCATGTGCTTTCGAGTTCTTTGCTTCCTAATGTCGTTTCAGATAGGCCCACATCTGCAAGAATAGCCTTTGATCGTGAACCTGTCATCTTTGTGCATGCAGCCATCTGTGCCCAGAAATGCATTGGTTTGTGAAAGCAAACAGCTTTTTGCACCTGTGTGTCTGTGAGTGTGTTTCCTTTTCTTAAGCAGCATGATTTATGAGCAGGTTTCTAGAGCCCTGGGAGACTGTGGTCTGATGGTAACACTGGCAAGGGGAGTGGTGGAAAGTGGAAATCCTGAGCTTGTGCATGGAATGAAAAGTTGAGGGTACTTTGGTCCCCAGTCACTTTGTTTGAAGGACTTAGCAAGTCCAGGTTCAATTCCTGGCAGGGCCTCAGACATGGCCCATGGGATAGAATCACTCATGTTTACCCTTCTGCCTTTGTTTCTCCATGTGAAATAGAGTAATTTTTCCAAAACTCATTCCAGCACTGGGAAGCCAGAGTACTTTTTGTCTGTGAAATGCCCACCTGCTGTCCTATACAGCCCTTTACCTTGCACACTGACTGATATTTGAAGTCACATTTCTGTCTTTGGAGGGTGTAAGAGTTTGGCTCAGAGGGTTTCTGCTCAGCAGTGGTGGGGCTCAGCAGGGAATCCCACTATCCAATCTAATCGATGTCTTCCCAAGGCACTCATCCTGCACCTGAGCAGCATACAGCAGTGTGTGAGAACACGTAACTACCTCTACGGGTGAGGGAAGAAGCGGCAGGTGCAGGGAGGGAGCAGGTTACAGCCTTCTGGGTATATAGATAAGGACACGAGATAACGCAGGAGTTGGATCATCTTGCTGGTAATGGGAAAGGAGCATTACTTGTGTGTTCTACTCTGCTTCTGCCAGTGGGTGTGGAATAGCTACCTGGTATTCCAGCTGTGTTCACAAGCAGGCATATGCTTATCTTTGTTTTAGAAACATGGAGGCAAGATTGCAGAGAAATAGAAAGTACTCTGGTAAGAGCTGTGCCAGCGCAGTTCCAGCATCCAGCAAATGACTTGGCCAGAGGAAGAAGAGCTGAAGAGGCCACAGCTCTGAGGAAGTTGAGATCTGCCAGCTCCCCCCGGGGAACTTTGTGGAAGCTTCAAGCTGGTGCTCAGGGCATAGCAAAGAAGCTTTTCAGTCAGGCTCCACCAGTGCAAAGTTCATGTAGATGGGCAGGGTTAAAATACCCCAAAACCTTAAGATTTGAAGAGATCTTACTTAATTTGTGGAAAGCCTTTAACAAAAGTTAATGTTGCTCCTTCACGGTTTGGTTGTCCTAGCAGAAGGAGTGGGCAGGAGGGACAGCAGAGGGAGGAAAGGGGTCGTCCCTGTTTGTCCCACTTTCTGCCCTCCTTGCCTGGAGATCAGTTACCAGAAGCTCTGATCAGTGACAGGACCCTTGTGGTCAGGTCCAGGATGGCAGTTCCCATGTCCTCTGCCTCCTTCTCGCCTGCCTGTTTCCACCCTTTCACATGGACTACTTGGAGTCCCAAAGGGAGTAGAACCTTGGTTCCCCTCCAAGCAGCAGCACGAGCTCTTAGCTCCCTTGAATGTGCCCTGACCATGTGCAGAGAGAAATAGGACCTTGCTGAAGGAGGATTTCCTGCATGCTACCTGGGAGTCAGCTCTGATTTCTCTTAGAGACTCCAGGTGCTACACCGGGCTCCTCCTTACCCTTGATAATTAAGTCATACAACATGCAGGGCTGTATCAAGCCAAGGATTAAGGGTCCTCCTTTCTCCTTAATTGAAGCCAAAAGATAAATGAATTATCAGGTATAACATGTGCATCTTGAGAGCCTGTGTTCAACAAAGGGGCTGTTCTGAAACTGAAATAGCTCATTTTGCTTCAAGTGGAGTTATTTTACATTTCTCATTTCCTAAAGCTTAAGACAATGAGGCTTTGGTCTAGTAACATGTCTCCTGTGGATTGATGTTACTGGGGAAAACTTACTGATCCCTTCTGTTGTGAATTATTTTTGTGTGGTTGGATTTAATAGGATGCATCATATGCTTATGCTTGAGGGAATTTGGCTTCAGCCTGTCCGACTTTAATGTTTTGCTACAGGTAGGAAGGACAATGCAGCTGTTTTTGTAAGCAGTCTGTTGTGATGGTTAGAGGTATGCTTCAATGGCAAAGCTAAATAGTCAAAAAGTGCAGAAGAATGTTCTGTGGGTCTGAGCTGTTCTTGCTGCCTATTTTTTTTTTTCCCTTCAGCTAGTAAGTGCTGACTGGGATACTTTGCAGCAAGGTAAACTAATTTTCAACTTTGTCATGTTCCTTTTAACCAGTACAAGGATACCTTGAAGCACCACTCATTTCTTATTAAAGCAAATGGGACAGCAAAATCTACCTGCGTTTCACCGGGTATTGTGCACCATTTCTCTTGGTGGCAACATAGCAAACAGGCTAGCTCTGAGAGGACCTCTTCAGATCAGGCAGTTCACTCTGGAAAACAGCATTTCCTTCTAATGTAATTATTAAAACTCGTGTTTCCGTTAGTTGTCGTAATGCATGGTGTTGTACTGGGCAGAAGAGAATGTCTGCTCTGAAGAGACTGAAACAAAGACAGTGTGAAAGCAGAGCTAGCTAGTGCCTGGAAGGAGATGTCTAGGGGTGTGCTAGCCCCCAGCACACCAGCTGGCATGATGTTAGGAGGGGAGAAAAACTCCATGGTCCAGGTGGGGTAGCCTCACAGATGTAATAAAGGTACAGATCCTAACCCCATGCTGGCTCTGGAGTTTGATTTGTGGCAAGTCACCTCCTTCTTGGCTTTGATTTCCTCCCAGCAAGACCCTCCACAGCACTGGGAAGACGAATTGGCTGATGTGTGCACTAAATGCTTTTCCAAGTATTCAAGTAATGGAGTGTTAGGAATAGTTTTATTTTGGTTTGAATCTGGTTAATTTCTCCGAGATGCAATTACTGCATAGAGAGGCCGCAGCTGGGGGAGTAACAGGTCCTGTCTAAGCCCTCTGAGGAGACAATATGCAATTGTTATGCCCAAATAGGGACATTTTTTAGGTTAAACCCTAGCAATCCATTGTTTTAGTCCGATGTATCAGGGTGATTCAGTTGTAGGTTTAAGAGCCTGCCCCTCGGTTGCAGTATTCTAAACACAGGATAACTTACGTTGGAGGGAACCTCTGAAGGACTTTGGTCCAACCTCCTTAAAAGGTCCTCAAAGAAGGGCCAGCCATGGGATCACACCAGGTTGCTCAGGGCTGGTTCCAGCTGCATGTTGAAAGCCTCCAAAGACAGAGGTTGCCCTGCAGCTCTGGGCTAAGGAGCCTTCTGCTCTCTTTTGCTACAGAATGAAGAGGAGGAAATCAAGCTAGAGATAAATATGCTAAAAAAGTACTCCCATCACCGGAATATTGCTACGTATTATGGTGCATTTGTAAAGAAAAGTCCTGCAGGCCAAGACGATCAGCTCTGGGTAAGTGTTTAGTGTCATTTCTGTTCATCAGATTTACAGCTCCTTTCTTTGGAGCTCCGGTATGCTTGTCTTGGACTCTGTCTCAGTGAAACTCTGAAGTCATTGTTCTGAAGAATAACATAAAACAGAAAAATCCCTCCTCCCTAAATGTCTTCAATCCCCTGATTTCCTTTGAGGATGTGACTTGTGCTGTTGTTCTGATTTGTTGTTCAAGCTTTTTGTTTCCAAATTAAACATTTCTATAATTTTATTATTTTTTAATGGAAGTGAAAGAGCTTGTCCTTTCCCCTCCTCTCCTTTTTCTTGTTGCTTCCCCCTCCTTTCTTCTGTTGGAAAATTAAAAAGGGAACAGAAGAATTGGCAATAAAACAAAGAAGAAAAATGAATCCTCCAATTTTTTTGGCTGCACGATTTTTGAAGCTCTGCAGCAACATGAGAAATTTCAAATTTTGAAAAAATTGCTATGTTTTTCACTGCTATTAGCTCTTTTTTTTCTGATTTTGTAATTTCTGGAAAAAAAAAAAAAAAAGGAGAGGAGCACTACTGAGGTTTTTTATTTATTCAGTAATGTGCATGATTCAGGAAATGAGATTTTGTGTCACTTGGCATCCGGGAAGGTTGAGTGTAGTTTGCCACACCTTGATTGTGGTGGAGTGGGTGTTTGTGTGTGGTGTCTTTGCTGGCACCCTGTCAGTGCTGTGGTAAAGGTGTTTTGCATGTGTCTTCCTGCAGTTGGTGATGGAGTACTGTGGTGCAGGTTCTGTCACTGACCTGGTAAAGAAGACAAAAGGGAACTGTTTCAAAGAAGACTGGATTGCGTACATCTGCAGAGAGGTTCTCAGGGTGAGTTGTGCCAACAGAGCTTTGTTGCTCATTTGCAGCAGAAAGACCTTTGCAAGCCTTTGGTCTCTAACATAGGTCACTGATGAGCGTTACTGTTTAAAGGTTTTGATCTGTGGGGCTCATGGACTCTGGTCCTTGAGTTCAGAAGAGCCTGAAGAGCCAACATGATGGCTGCTTGACATCCCATATTTTGTAGTTAATCCCATTTTCTGTATGAAGAACAGACAATTCCTGTTCCCTATGGCAAATAGCCATTTTCTGAAAGCTTCCAGATTCTGGGCATTTAGAAAAGTAAATAAATTTTCTGTTTTCAGTAAGTCTGTCCTCCACATCAGGAGATCTTACTGCTTATTGCTTCAGCTGTTCATGCTGTGTAAGATCTTTCTCTTCATAATTCCTTTACCTGCGCACACTCAGGGGCCTCTTTTCAGCACTATCAGAAGTAATGTTCACTAAACAGCATTCCAAAACCTTAAAGGTGGCCCTGCAGGAGCAATATTCCTCAAGACAATTCTTGGGGCTATATTTCATGCTATGCAGACTTAGGGCTATTTGTTTTGTTTTGTTTGGTTCCTGGAAAGTAGAAAGGATAAAACAATTCACAAGTGTAATCTAGTGAACTAGCCTGGGGGGAAAAAAAAAAAAAAAGTGTTAGAACCTGTCATTCTAAATTCAAAACCCATTACAGAGTTACTGATCCGTCTTCCTTGTAATGGAGTTTTACTTCTTTTCTAAATAATGGTAAGATAAATGTGTATTCTGAGAGCTGGAATTCAAATGGCATGCTAAAGTAATGCTTGAATAGGAGTAAATCTTTGCTTCTGGAGCAGAAGAATTGATGAGCATGCTCAGTAGAGAACATTGGCCATCTGACAAGGATTTGGCATTGGATTGTAAGAACTGGAGAGTGCAGGGAAAGCTCTTCTGAAAAGAAGTCTTAATGGTGTGGTCAGGTTGCTCTTCGTTTGCGTGGCTAGAACATCTTGATTAAAGCAATTGATGTTAAAACATTTGGTTTACACGCATGCAACTGAAAACCATAGCAGCATGCTGGTGTCAGACAAGAGATTGGATTTAATCATGCTTGTTTCAAAACAGGAGGACTCAGTTGCATGTGGATTGACAGTGTTTCCTTCTGAAAAATTTAGAAGCTCTATTTGAAGTCATTAATATTACAGTGGCTAAGCATTTTGAGTGAAGTATCCCCTGGTTCAGTACAGTGTATCATTTCAGTGTGTACCTTTATGATAGTTTATCCATAGACAATTTTGGAATAAAGGAGGAGACAGAATATTGCAAGTATTAGCTGAATGAAAACAATATTTGCTGCATTCAGAAAGAGGTCTAACACAGTATTTTGAACTTTCTGTAGTTCATTTACCACTGAATATGGTTTTGCTGAATGCAGAATTTAAGCCACTGTGGCCAGTCAGCTGCTGTCTCTGGTCTTTATACAGAGAATGCTGCATTGCTTTTTCCCTCTTGTTTGGTTCCAACACATAGTATAAAGAGGCATCCCTTGATTCTGAGACAGAAGTTTAAAATATTGCCACCTTGTTCTCTTCACACTCGACTTCAGAGATGCTCCACTACTGTCAGGCCTGTGGGTAAAGATGACAATCAAACTCATGGTGGCTGTCCTCTCTCCTCCCTGAAACTGTGGTCTTCACGTTGCTTATGTCTAGATGACTTGCCCTATGAATAAATCTGAGAAGGGTAAAAGTGTAAAAAGGCAACGCTCATTATAATGATAGTCAGAAAGAATAAAGAAAGTCTGGTTTTGTTTTAGGGCTTGGCACATCTTCATGCTCACCATGTCATCCATCGAGATATTAAAGGACAGAATGTTCTTCTCACAGAAAATGCAGAAGTAAAACTGGGTAAGTTTCCTTAAATGTGTGCTAGAAACCTGTTAGTAAAAATTTAAGATTTCCATCTTGTATTGGAAAGAACATTCAGCAACCTAAGAGCAACAAATATGTCAAGTAGCATTAATGCTTGTGTTTGTAAGGTGTCTGTCATATAGAAAGAGCTGAAAATGTGACATGTTCTGCAAGGATGTCACTCACAGCCTGTGGGGAATGCAGCTACTTCTGGGCAGTCAAACATAGAACCTGTCTAGTAAGTCACAGCACCATCAGGCCTTCACAGCAGATCCCAGCATGCAAAGATTTCCAAATAAAAAACTTGGGGGAATAAATTATGCTAATCCACTTCTCTAAGAGATTCTTAGACACTTTCATAAATCTGACAAAAGGTGAAATTACTCATGTGTAAGGGCTACCACTGAAGAGCAGCTCTTACTAATTGTCATTTCTCTAAAAAACTTTGGAGAGTTTACTTATTTCCTTTTCTAGCTGTGACACATCAATGTTGACAACTTCTGACTTCCTAAGTACATATCTCTCTTGAGGAGGGGATGTCTTTAATGTTTTGAGAAGACATCACAGAGAACACATGGCAGAGATTTAAAGGAGCAGTCTCAATGAGAGAGCACTTCTCTTATTTGGGATGATCTTTACACTCCTTCTTTCTTTAATTGAAAGAATCCACTGTAGAGTTGAAGAACAAAAATAATAAACATGGTCTGTGGATGTGGGGTAGGATGTTTGGCTGGAGCAAGTAAAAATAAGTACTTTAAATGTCATTATGGTTTAACCTTAATGGTGAAATCCCGACTTCACTGAAGTCAAAGGGACTTTTGCTGTTGTATTAAATGAAAGCAGGATTTTGCTTGTAGTCTCTAAAAGATACGTACTGTTTTTCAATCGTTGTCTCTTAAAACTGGCAAGATGGGAGGTTTGTGTGTGTTTACAGCCTTGTATAGTTACTAGTCCCACCATTCTTCACGTGATTGACAAGAAAGTTAAATCTTTCTAACTCTGGGTGAAGATGAAACAGATTTACTAAGTACAACAACTAAAACCAAAAAAACAACAGAAAAAAAACCCAACCCCACAACAGAAATGTTGTTACCAGAGAGTTTTAGCTTGTGTATCTTAAAGAAGCTAGAAACCTAAAAGGTCCTCATTCCAGTTCCATCCCACTTAGGTGTAAGTGGGCACACTTCCCATCAGAAGCACAAAGCACATGATGATCCCAAAGGTCAGGTCCGGCTTACTGCTGGAGAACGTTTGCTAAACAGGCACATTATTTGCAGGTGATCTGCAGTGAGGTAACATAAGTGAGAAAATCTTCTCCTTGATGGTAACCATAGGGCTGCCTCCTTTCAGTCCTTTCATTTCGCTGTTATTTCATCTTCTCTGTGAATAGCACTCGAGCACTATGCCCAGTGGATCCAATTAGTGCATCTTAGCGGTTTGTTCAAAGAAAAATGCAATCACATATTTATTGGTTGTATGGATCCTTCTTCATATCCAAACAAAATATTTTGCTGTGTAATCCTGATGAAACTAACACCCTTTTCATCACAAAGAGCACCACATGATTCTCTCATTATAATGAATCTAAAATCAGAATAAACTAGCATAGTCTCCAGCTTGTTCTAAGATAGTGTATGAATGTAGGGAAGGAGTTATTCCAAACACCTCAAAATGAAGTGATATGATAGTTCTTTCCAGCTTTCACAAATGGCCATATTAGACACATCAAAATTTGCTGTGTCCGTAGATACTATTTTTCCTTTCAGATACTAGTTGAAAGATCTTGAGTCCTACTCAACGTAGCATTTAGATTAAGCATAAATTACTCTATAATGTCTTCCTAGAGCAATTCATGTCTGCTGTAACCTGCCTGGCAGATTTAGTGTGCTGTTTGTTTGGTCTTCTGTCAAAAAGGAAAAAAAAAAAAAAAAAGGCAGTTAAATTTCAACTATTGGACAAGATGTACTGAAGGAACTCAGATTTGGTATGCATTGTAGCCCAAAGGTTTGGTATTCTAAACAGTATGGAAGTAACCAAGCAAACACTCTGCCACATGGATACAGCTCTTTATTATTCTTTACCTGTGCTTGGCTTTTCAGTGGATTTTGGTGTGAGCGCTCAACTGGATAGAACTATTGGGAGAAGAAACACATTTATTGGCACACCGTATTGGATGGCACCTGAGGTCATTGCTTGCGAGGAGAACCCAGACTCTACGTATGATTACAGAGTAGGTGTCACAACTCTGCATAAGGTAGAAATATGTGCAGGTTATTGCTGAAATCCTGCTCAAGTACTGCATTTGAAAAGTTCAAACTTCCCTCCTTTTAAACAGCAATAATATTTTAACTGTACAAATAGAAGTATTTGTAATATGTGGGTGGTGGTTCTTTTTAAGAGTAGAGTTTCATTATGAATATTTTTTGTGTGAATTGTTAATATGTGAAACACACTTTCATGAGCATCTGTGCAAAAAAAAATATTGATATATGGAGGTTGTAGGTCAGGATAGAAAAGAAAGGAAGAGATAAATTTGGAAGGAGTACTTTAAGTAATGTAATACTAATATGACAAGTTACTGCTCTCCTCTGTGATAGAGCTGTTTTACTTTGTACTCAGCTGTGAATCCTAAGTTAACTGGCAATAATTAGTATCACTGTACTCATTTATGGCATGTGACTGCAAGAGGTTTCCCATCCCAGAATGATTTCTGGTCATTCGCGGGGTGGCTGAGGTGAGAAGGCACAGAACTTCTTATATTTCAGTTTGTGCCCACTGCCTCTTGTCCTGTCACTGGGCACCACTCAGAGAAGTCTGGCTTGATGGTCTTCACTCCCCTCACATCAGAAATTTGTATGGATTATGAGATCCCCCTGAGCCTTCCCTTCTCCAGGCTGAACAGTTCTGTCTCTCTCAGCCCAGAGACTCCCAGCTCCAATCCCTTAAACATCTTTGTGCCCTTTTGCTGCACACACTCCAGTGTGTTCATGAGTTACTTGTACTGGGGACCCTAAGAACAGCTCTCAAGAACTTTTTTCTGTTTCTCCTCCCAACTCATATAATACACTGATGCTGTTCCAAAGAGACTTACAAAGCTTATTCTTTGTCCTCTGGCCTGTTTCCAGCAGTGTTGTCAATTGTCTGCATACACTTACTATGCAGGATGTTTTCCAGGGCTGGCTTTCTGTGCAGCCATCTTCTGAGTGACCCTCCAGTCGCTCTCTGAGGTCAGGTGCTCTCGTAGTTACCACTTTGCAGCTCTTGTTCTTGTTGTGGCTTCAGAAATGTTAGAAGAACATGTTATTGCTTCCATTTTCTAGTGATTCAGATGCTGTGATTCTCCCTTGTCGACACCTTCTGTGCTGCACTGGCAGAGTGAGGTCATGTTGTGTGAGTGTCAGTCATGACCAAAGAATGTTCTTGGATTTTATTTTTCATACCATGTAAATCTTCTACTGAAACCTCAAGAAATTAATCTCCTGTCTTCATTCCCTCTCCCCAGTTGATTTCAGAATTTGTACTTTTCAGAAGATACAAGCATTAGGAATGTGTACCTCTAATTCTTGAGGTTTCTTTGCTTTCAGTAGTAATAGTTCATCTGTGTGCATATATGTATAATTCTGAATAGATTCTGCAGATAGTAGTTTAAAACTGATCCCTGGAGGATTTTGGAAGCACTTACGCAGGCAGTGCTACGAGTCAGAAGGTGGCACAGGGCTGGTCTTTTCTACAGGGATTTATAGCTGATATCATAAGCAAAGTAGCAGGAAGCCACTGTTAACTTCTTGTTCCAAAAAAACCCCCAACAATTGAATAAAAATATATATGCATAAAGATGTATATATACACACACTGACATCTACAAACACTGCTGTCATCCTCCCTTTTCTCCCTTTCACCTGTCTTCCCCTTGCACTTTGAAACTCCAAGGCAAAATTCTTTGTAGCCTGGTTGTTTCTCCCATAGTCCCAAAAACCTGCATTGCTAACCCTGGAAGACTCTTCTAATTTTCAGCCATTTACTTAATAACAAGTCAAGATTGTGACTTTATTATAAATTCCCACCAGTTTTGTTGTCAAATCCCTCCACAAACTATGATACAAACTGGTTTTCAGCTTGCATAAAGCAGTTCAGAGCAGCTGAACTGAGAAGGCTCTGTTGATAAAGTCAAATTTAGTCACAGTGTCAGGCTGGGTATGACCTCCTATTCATGTAATTGTATGTTGCTTCTAATTTTTGAAAGTTTGTCTTCTGTCTTTTAAAGGATAATTTTAGAGAAGCCTTGCAAGTTGGTTTGTTCACATGCCTCTATTTGGCTACATTTAGACACAAGAAGTAGTAAAATAATGCACATGATTAATCAAGTGGAAACCTGTGAAGTTTTTACATTCCCTGGGAGTGTTTCCAATCTACCTTCCATGATTAAAACCTGACCCTTAGCATCCAGACAAGCTGATAAAGGAAACTCCACTCGAAGTTAACTGAGCTGGACATACTGTGTCAGAAATGTGACTGCATGATGTGCTCTCCATTCATGTGCCCCAAAACTTGTGACTGGAGACTCTGTAGACAGAAAGTCAGACCCCAAGGCCTGACTATAATTTCTTTCTATTAGTGTAGAAACTCAGCAATGACTGTTCTGAAATAAGTATTAAGACCAAGAATTTCTTTGGCCAGGAGCAGGGTGGGGTGAGGCACTGCTGTGTCTCCTGCCTCATGAAAACAGTTTAAAAATTTAAGACGTATATTTAAATGGTGCCTGCTGTATTCTGGCTCTTGTTTTTTGAATGCAGAAGGTCTGCATTTGGGGGCTGGCTGCTTAAATGATGAATCAGCTGTTCGGAGTTGCATGGGAAATGGGAAGTTTCTGGCTATTAACATGTTTCCTAAAAGCTCAGTAGGGAATGGGAGGGAGCAGAATGTATGTCACTCCAACTGAAATGATTTGATTTGGGAGGAATCTCAGGAAACTGTAAGAACAAAACAAAACAAAAATGCAAAATGAAACAGACAAAAAAAGCTTGAATGCTGCAATGTGCAATGTTTCTTCTCCTGCAGAGTGACTTATGGTCTCTGGGAATCACTGCTATTGAAATGGCCGAAGGAGCTCCTCGTAAGTGATTTGGTATAAAGGTGGGGATGTCTGCTTTATGAACATGTTCTGTGTTAAAATAACTCACGCTTGGATAACGCACAGATGTACAAAATTCTGATTCTGGCTGTATCTTTAAAAATAATCTATTACTTTTTCTCATTTGGGCTCTTTTGCTTTCCTCTTCCTTTTAGACCCTTTAAGTCTGTATTCTGATTCCTTGCCTTCATTTCCTTGGGAAACAAAAAAAAAGTTTTCTTAGAGCTCTTGTTAGCATCACTTTGTTCATCACTGCCTGTAGGTACAGCTAAGCAGAAGTGATTGACACGTTAGCAGAAAAAATTGACAGGAGTGGCTTTGGGTTTTTGTCACTAAAAAAAAATATGGCAGTCAGAGAAGCTAGGCCTAGAGGTTATATTTTTACTCTGGAACTGCCTTGATTTTCACAGGTTTGGGGATGAATACTGAATTTGCTTATGTAATGGCTTCAGTCCATGACCACATTCTCAACTTGACAGCAGATTGCCATAATTTTACAGCCAGCCCCCTCCTGCTAGCTGTCCCCCTTGCTCCTCCAGTTAGCCTCTTGCAGCCGTTGGGCAGAGATTGGTGGCTGCAGTGTGGATGCAAAGATCTTGTGCATTTTTGTTTCTGTGGAGGACTGGTTGCTTTGCTCCAGTGCCCACGAAGCAGATGTGATGGTGTGTCCAGTCACTGCTGAGAGTACAGAGGATGAAATAAATTATACTCTGGCCTGAGCTTGAGAGCACGTAGGCTGTGTTTTTAAAAAATGGATTTGGCTGTTCTCCCATTAGACTTGGTTTTCAACAGTGCTCAGGAACCAGCTGTAGTTCAGGAGCACTTTCAGACCCTGTGCTTCAGCCTAGCTGAGGCTTAGTACTGAGACACGAGTTTTCTTTGAGAGAGACTTTGTAGCTTTGCATGCTGTGTTGGCTTACATTTTGGCTTACATTTCCTCATGCCACTTGTATTTGATTCTTGCATTAGTTTTGGCAGGAAAATGCTATGGGTTATATTCTGTTGTGTTGTGCTTTGTTTACTGTAGTACAGCAGTGTCTGCAACCCATAGCTAGAAACCAGACTTCTTCTGCCCCCCATCCCCACTGTATCATGAGCTATTGAAAATATGAAGGAAAAAGTCAAAAAACACAATGCAGATGTGAGAAACAACGGCAGGTGGTTGCAGGCAGAGAAGTTAATAGAAGGCAGTGGGGCTTTACCAGACCACAGTCTTCTCACTTATACTAGTTCTGTAATACTGTAAGTCCATTCCTGTTAAGAGAATCACTGCTGAACTCCCGTATATCATAAGAAATCAGCCTCCATATAGTTCCTATCAGTGGTCATTCAGTAGCTCTGTTTTGTGAAGGAATACCTCTGACCCTCGACATTTCTCTGTGGCAGATGGAGCACACTCATAACCCCATACAAAATGCATGGGATAGATGAGATGTGACGGTATTTACTTTCTGCAGTTCTTTGTAGCTTCAACTTTCCACAACAGTAACACTGAAGAGAAATACATTGGGCTGGAGAGAAACCAGCATCTGAATGCAGGAGTAGAATCTGTTGCAGATTGCCTAATAATGGTGCTCACATTCCCAAAACACAGAATAGATGAAATGTGTGCTTAGTCATTACGCTCTGTGCCAGTGACGCAGTTTATGAGCTCTACACTTTGCATCAGATTTTATTCATTCTGCATTTTCCTTTATGCCATGAATGATGTACCTAAGAGTTTGGTTAAAGCTCATTTATCTGAACCATAAGCTAGACAATAATAAACTTTAACTTACATTTATGTGAAAACTCCCTTTTGGTATATCAGAAGGGTGAGCTTTTTTTATGTCCTTCTGAACCCTTATATATAAAAAATATGAAGAAAGTTGTAGTTGCTTCTGCCGTGCAGCCTTTCTTTCAAATCTCTTTTATCTGGCAACGGCAGCATATTGTTGTGAAAGATTTCTGCGTACTCAGGGACTTTATTTCTTGGCTGTAGCATGAATTTCGTTGACTAATGGTATGGTGCTGTGGCGGATGCTGTGCTGTTGGAAGTGGGAGTGTTTATGGAGGAAAACTCCTCTCTGTCAGGAGAACCAGGCTCCTGGCTTGGCTGGGTCAGCGTGCTCAGGCCCTGGGAGGGACACAGAGAGATCGTGCACCCTTGAATAGCTTGTGGTTTCTTTTTCAGCCCTGTGTGACATGCACCCCATGAGAGCGCTCTTCCTCATCCCACGGAACCCACCCCCAAAGTTGAAATCCAGAAAATGGTAAAGAGATGTGTAAAAACTGTATTTTTGCTGCATTGAGCTTAGGAGGATTTTGAGCTCTCTTGTCCAGAGACAGCGAGCTTGTTACATCCTAGAGTAATCTATGAGGTCTTTCCTAGGCTGTTTCTAGTACTGGGTTAAGCCACAGGTGCAGATGTAGTTTACCTTTGGGAAGCAACACCTTTCTTTTGAACTCTGCCTAAACTGTGCCAGTCATTGCAGTGGCTGAAGTTTGGCATGGGTGGCTGAAATTGCAGTATAGGCAAGGCTTGGATGGGCTGCTTGGGGTCAGGGCTTTGTCAGAAGACTGCATGGACTTTGTGGGGCTACTGTCAGTCTCTCTGGCCTACAGAGAATTAGTTGGTCTTTTAAATGAAGTGTATGAAGAAAATCTTCACCATATCAAAAGGATAAGGGCATTTTTGAAAGAGATGCATTGGCCAGATTGTGGGTTTTGTTGATCTGGATGTAAATTCAGGGTAACCCCACTGAGAGGGCAGTCAGGGCGGAGTTCCCCATCATTTGCCTTCAGCTCTGTGCTGGCCTCAGGAGGCCCACCAGTGGTAAAACTCAAATTGTCTCACACAGTGCCTGTCCCAAAGGAAACCTGAAAAAGTTAGTGCTTTCCATCACTTGAGGATAGTGCTTGGCACACAAGTTGAAAAGGAATATTGTTTTCCTCCATTTTTTTATCATTTTCAGGTCAAAGAAATTCCTAAACTTTGTTGAAAGCTGCCTTGTAAAAAATTATTTGCATCGCCCATCCACTGAAACCTTGTTGAAGCATTCTTTCATCCGAGACATGCAGAATGAACGGCAAGTGCGCATCATGCTGAAAGACCACCTGGACAGGACCAGGAAGAAAAAAGGAGAAAAGGGTAACGTGGCAAAAACAAAATAAAAGGCACTGCAGAGAGTAGGTCCTCTCTCAGTTTTGGCAGCAGAATACAAGGCAGATGCAACTAAAGTACTAGAACCTGGGAAACTGTGAGAAAGTGTTATCCTTGATAGTGACGGGGCCGTTTTGAAGATCTCTTTGCCAAAGCCCATGTCCTTAATGGGGTTTAAGTGCTGATATCTTTGGATCCTGACTTACGCTGATACACTGAGCAGCCCTAATGCTGCCTTGAGTGAGGACTCCAAGTAAAGTCTAGCTCCCTGCTTTGTTGAGTATCTAAGTAGTACATTGTGTGTTTTCTAGTCTCTCAGTTCATCTGTCTGTCCCTGATCCATTTAATTTATGTGTTGCATCTCCATATAATTTTAGCTTGTGGGTTCTTTGGGGGCAGAAGTGCTCTTTAAGTGTTTTGTGGTGGAATACACAAAAGAGACCTTGAGAAGGCCTCCAAGCTCCAGCAAAACACAAACGAATATAATGAATCATCTACTTCACAGAGTGGCTGAAGGAAAAGAGAGAATCTGAGTTGGTTCCAAATGCTAGCCTTACTCTTCAGAGCAAAACCTGGCAGAAGCAGTGCTGGAGTGGGAATGATACTTGTGTAAATGCCTGTGCATACCAGACTAAGGGCTGTGCAAAGTGGAGAGAGAGCCTGTAGCCTGTTGACCACCAATTTTTCCCTGCCCTTTCTCCCCTCTTCCTCCTCCTCTGTGTATTTTATACTGGCAGGAGCACTGTGAAGATGAGTGACTGTGAGGACAAACTTGGAAAGGACTGTACAGTTGGAAAGTGACTTCTAAACTCCAAGTATTGATTTGACAACGGGAATACTTGTGCCTAAAGTGAAATTGCTGTTGCAATGAAGATTTACTGACTCCAATAGTAGTTGCAAATTCTGCCACCTCTTTCAGCTATGAATCTCAAAGCACTTTCAAATGTAAAGATAGTGAGTTAGAGTTTCTCACAAATGCCCTTGAGGGGTTGGGGAATGCAGTGATAACAACCATTTCTTGATAGTTACATTTTGGCCTGAATAGTGCTATTTTTAATCAAAGCTCCCCTGAAAGGGAGAACAGTGTGAATTTGCCAGACTATACACTTTAAATAGTGACTTAAAAAAAAATAAGTCCCACTTTATCATGCCAGCAGTGCAGAGTAGGACCAGTTTAAAATTATCCCTTAAAATCAGCCTTCATGTTAGTCTTGAAAAGAACTTCAAAAGTGTGAGTCAGCTTCTTCTGAACCGCTGTGCTTAAACTAGCATTAATTTATTACCCCTGTTTCTTTTTATAATTATTTGCTTTAATACAAAAGGAAACCTGGATTTACTGAAGGCCTCAGCTTAGCCATACAACAGGTATACAGAGAATGGCAGTACAAGTCTTTTATGTCCTATTTAAATTCTTTCTGAAGAGCCCCTCTGCTGGCGATGTTGTGGGGGTTGGATTTCTCTGTGGGTTTAGCCTAATTTATTTCAGACTATGGAAATAGGTTAGTTTTGCAAAACCAATACAGTCAGTTAAGGGAAAAGGTGGGAGTGTGTAAAGGCTGCCCTAAACATTATGTGAACTAGATTTTCAATTATGTACGTAGATATCTTACCTCCCCTCAGCCTCCCAGTGCAACCTGTGGCTTTTACATTCCTGCTGAGCTACATGTACTTCAGGCTGAGTGTTCAAAAACGAAGTTCAAGATCATGTCTTAAATAACAGCATCCTCCACTGGGGTTTGTTTATTGTTCTCTTTTTTAGAAGAAACGGACTATGATTACAGTGGAAGTGAGGAGGAAGATGATGAGCTGAATGAAGATGAAGGAGAACCAAGGTTAATTTTGTTACTGGAATAGAAAATTTGACTGCCCAGACTGTTATTGAAGGCAGCCCTGCTCAGCCAGAGTAGCTTTTTTAACTTGCTCTGAATCCCTTATCTCCTGTATCCCCTCTGGTAGCTTTAACTGTTTTGTAGCTATCAAATATAATTGCTGAGTATAAGATGTCTGTAATAAGCTGCTTCTTAGTTACCCAGCAATAGGGAGAAAACTCAAATGAAGGACCCAGTAATCGGCTTCAGGCTGTTTTGTAGCACAGAAAGTACAGTTGCATGGTCAACATGCTGGAGATTTATCAGAACATCTTATTTTCTAACACAGGACAGCAAGCAATTCCCAGTGCATCTTGTCTCTTTAATGTTATGTTTAGTCATGTAGAATTCTCTTTGTTTCAGCTCCATAGTTAATCTCCCAGGGGAGTCAACTCTCCGTCGTGAATTTCTGAGGCTGCAGCAGGAGAACAAAAACCGTTCTGACCCTCATCGTCAGCAACAGCAGCTGAAGGACCAGGAGAAATACAAGAAGCAGCTTCTGACAGAACGGCAGAAACGGATTGAGCAGCAGAAAGAGCAGAGGAGGAGGCTGGAGGATGTAGGGATTGTCTTGTATAGTTGTTCCATGTCTCATCACAAACAAAAAACATGCCTGTAGAGAGTAGGCTTTGAAAGGCAAGACCATAGTGTTAATTTGTCAGTACAATCTGGATCATAGTTTTTAACCTTGGGAGAACAGTCTCACTTTTGAACACAATGATTTTATATGGGCTCTGTTGTTTTCCTGCTGAGAACCTGCCCCCAGCTTTGGGAGCAGAAGAGGAAGGGCATTCTGCTTGAGTTTGCTTGGTGATGGAAGCCCAGGAAGATGGGATGAGAGGTCTTGATTTCTTTCACATGTGCATTGCCCAATTCGGAGTCTGATCCAGAGTCCTGGCCCTGCTACTGTTTAAAATGTTACAAGATAGCTGCTGCCTTTTCAGCTGTCTGACACACTGTGGTGTTGGAGGCATTGCTAAATCACCAGCATGTCTCTTCTCATGAGTATCGAATGAAATTGAAGCATTGTGAACACTCCAGAGCTGGCATTTACGAAGCGTAGTGCTGCTTCGGCAAAACAGCAGGGCTCTGGAAAAACCCTTCCTTCTCAAAATGATGGGAAGACATCTGTCATTAGATTAGCTGCCAGCCATCACAGAGATCTTGCATGCCTGCTTAAATGAATGGCAAATCTGCCCTTGGCTGCCAGAAGGGCAAAGGTTTCACTTCAAATTGGGCAGTCGGTGTGGTGGCAGCTTGTGGCTGTCTGCTTCTGCTGCACAGTGTATCGGGTATCCCCTATTAGTGACTGCGTGGCAGGAAACGGGCCTTGTGATTAATGAGCACTGGCAGAAGTAATTGGTGGGTACAAAATAAAGTAAAATAAGCGATGTTATTCCCTGTCTCCCTTCCAGCATCAGAGGCGAGAGCAGGAGCTACGAAGGCAGCAGGAGTGTGAGCAGAGGTGGCCAGAGGCTAAAGCTGTTCAGAGGATAGAAGAGAGGTGTAAAGAAGACAAAAGGGCTGTGGAAGATGAACGGTTCATAGTAGATGGACAGAGGAAATCAGAAAAGAAGCAGGTATGAAAAGAGTGTTTACTGACAGCAATTCACAGCTCCCTGCTCCTGTAGCTGATGTCTTTCTCTGTTCCCTGAGGGTGTTCCCATCTTCTGAGTCACAGACCAGAGAGGGACTTTTTAATACATTTACTGCCTCTTGTTCTCAGATTCAACCTTCTTGTGAGTTAATTTATGTGTTACTGAGTCATCCTCCTTATCTACAGTAATGACGCTGCCTCCCACTTCTGTCCCTGCCGTTTCTCTGTGCTGAAACGGTTTTCAGTCACTTTGATCTGATTTAAAATATCTTTACCCTGGAAGTTTCCAGCATCAGCTCAACCTAAGCTTAAATCTCCGGTCTCTAGTTTCTGTTTGGGTTGTGTAACCAGGACTGTTTCTTTTTCACAAATGAAAATGTAGCAGAGATTGAAGTTTAATGCTGAAGTCTTATTGTCAAGTCTGGCACCTTGGCTGCAATAGTTTTCTAGTGTTTCATCAGCAAACTGATTTGTAATCAGACAGAAGCATGGAGTGTTTTATTAAACCCCTCTGGTTTTAGGAAAAGTAAAAAGAAAAAATATTATTTTCTGACGTGCTGTCTCAAAAGCCAACCACAGAGTGTTTGGGATCACTTTCTGCTTCCTATTGCTGGGGGTTGTGGCTCTTCTGTCAGCCCTGCTGGAATTGTGTTTGCTTTGTTCTTTGAAAAGCCAGTATTTCCAGTGGTCAGCTTGGTTGTCCTCCAAGACATTGTTCTCTCTGACGTTCATCACTCTGCTTTCAGAAGGTGGAAGATGTGCAGCACAACAGGAAGGTGCATCGAACTCTCCCTAAAGATCAGACACAGCTGCTGTCTCTCCAGCATGACCACAAGCAGAAGAAGAAGGAGCCTTCCAAGAGTTCAAATTCAGCAGTACATCCTCTGTCAAGCAGCACAAGCAAAGAGGTACTGTCTTGGCCAGTGTAGCATCTTGGTGCTTTGCAGTTTATGATGCTGTGATTGATCTTTATCTGATGACAGATTGATCTTTAAACCTAAATCTGGAGCTTGACCTGTGTCATACTACACACTTATGCTACAGTAAAGCCTTTGGTTTCCATTACTGTAGAGGGTAAGGTAAAGGTCACTTCTTACCCAGGATCAGAGAAGGGTTTGACTGGGGAATGGGGAAACAACTAGGTGTCATTCCCTTGTCTTCCAGAGGAATGAATTAAGACGGTATCATCTGAGGTTTAACAGATGTCTTTGCCTGATTTTAGGGTTCACAAAAGTGACCCAGACACAGATTGATGTCATGCCTCCCAAGTACAGATCTGTGTGTCCCAGTGTCAGGCTGTGATGCCTTTCGTTGTTCTTTGTCTGCCAGGATTTTAGGTAGATAAGATTTGATGAATCAAGGGTAGCAAGATATAGTCCTTGATTAAGAGTTGTAATCCATTTCATTCTTTTGCTAAGTCTGGAAGTATTTTTGCCCACCAACTTGTCCTGCTTACTGTTGCGTATTGTGAAAAGCTACATGTCCATTTCACATATGTTATCGTTCCTAGCACATTTACTTTTTTTTTTTTTTTTTTACAATCCCAGCTTGTGAGTGCAATTCTACAGCTGGTACTGTTTGTTGTGTAACTAAAGTCTGAGTCAGTGTCAAAAACTCAGCAGCTCACAGGTGCCTCCTCAGGTGGCCATGTCTAACTAGAATAGTGGATGTGATGGTCTCTGCATTCATGGCAAAGCATCTTCTCAAAATACCTAAGCAAAGGCATGAGGAGAGCTCATGTACATGTATGTAGGAGGAATGCAGAGCACTGCTTCTTAACATCTTGCTGCAGTTATTAAGCAAGTGCCCTCTTTGTCACTTCTTTGTGTGTGTGCATGTGGGAGTGCACACTGCAACTGGTTCCCTTAGCTGAAATCTTCATTGTTGGATAACCGAGTCTGCAAACAGGTAAGCAGCAATATGAAATCATGAAAACAAAAGATACTAGGCTCCTTGTTAGAGTAGCAGTCTGTGAAAACAAGAGTACTTCTTAACTTACTTAAGTTGTACTTCTGTTTGAAGTAAACTGAACTGTCAAAAACTGAAATGCTCTTGCTCCAATGGCTTTATTGCACTGACTGATTCAACAAATTGTTACTGAAATGTGAATGAACTCCTCTTGAAATCAGTATTTGTTTGATGGTGGAGGGCTGGGTCTTATTCCAGCTGGGGGGTAGATGAGTGCGGACAGAAAAGTAAACTGCTTTTTCTAAATGTACAACATCAAAGTCAATAGAAATGCTCTGCCTTTGCTAGGCTTTCAGTGCGTGGGGAGAAAATGCAACTCAGTTGAGTTAATTTAACTTTTGTTTTCTTATTCATTGTAGTTAGAAGTCAACTGCAACATGTCAGCTTAAATACTCATCTCTGGTTTTGGCATCTGTTTTGTAAATGGCCCCTTTGTAGCAGAATGAAATGTATTATGGAATGTAGTGTGCAGTCACTGCTAACTTTTAATTTAGTGGTGAAATAAAATATCACTAGTTGCAGAGAAAGTGCTGCCTGCCTTTTAGGTTCACAGCACAAAGGTCTTGTCATTATGGCTACTGTAATATACTCTAGTTTCAAGGACAAATTCTTTTACAGTGTTACTTAATCTCAGAACTTGGAAGTCACAGATCCATCCGCTACAATCACAATGAGTAGTACAGGGTTGCATTTTTTGCTTGAAGGTTGAGACTTCATAATTATGTCAGCGGTCATAATTGTCCACAACATTTAAAAATGCTTTAAAGTTTTGACTGTTTTTAGCATCAATAACTCAGTGAATTTGTTCTTGTTGATACTGATCTTTCCCAGTCTATTAGCCAAAGAGATGATAGTTTGTTGGGAGAGATCTACACAGGGATGAAATAGCCTACTCAAGAGTGAGTTTCTTTGCATACTTTTTAGGGCTCAGTGACATTTTAAGGGCCAGTTATTGATACACAAAAGCCCTTCAGAATTATTTGGCATTAAAACCAAACAAAAAACCCTAAAGCCCTCTAAAGCCTCAAGTTTAATGTTTGGAGCCACAGAAATCCTTTCTTGGGAGTTCCTTGTCTTTGCTATTGCACTCATCCTGGCGCAGGCAGGTCAGGGTGGGTACGTGCAGATGTGAGCTCGCTCTGTGCTGTATCTGGTCCCACCGGCACCGGAGCTAATGGCCTGAGAGGATGGGCTCCTGGCTTGGGCTTGAGGCTGCACTAGGGCAGTGCCTGGGTAGGGGCTGGTGTCACTTCTGGGAGCCCAAAGTGTTGGTGCGTGAGTTTGCATCTGGATCATAATATATAGCATGCAAGCACCCTTGGGGCACAGAGGTGGTAGGTAAATAGTCATGTTTAGCTTTTACATTTTCTTTCTTGTTTATGGTAAAATTTGCCTTTCATTATTAGGAGTTGTAAGTAATGAAAATCTGGCCCCAAGAGTAGTATAACTATCAAGCTTACTGGGGCTAGAATTTTATGGTATTTGGCTGTGGTTGCCTGTTTTAATAAGGGGGTTTTTGTGGGTTGGGTTTTTTTTTTGGAATTCATTTTTTCTCTAATTGAGATCTGTGAAACTAAGTGGAATCATTTTCCATCTCCTCAGCAGTTTTCTAGGCCGTGTTAAGAATACACTTACCTTCCTGACATAGGCACAAACATCCAGATACAGTGAGAGATACTGTTAAGAATTCTCACCCAGACAAAAATAACTGGGCGTTTTTATGGTATTAATCTCTAGTTTACTGAGTAGAGCTGTTTCTAGGCTGCTGGATCAAAGGATATGCTAAAGGTTTACCCTAGAGAGTGGGAATTAGTCATGTTGAATGAAACTGGAAAGAGTAGTGGGGTCAAAACCATAGGATAAACATTTTTGTAATGAGCAATGCCTTCAGGAAATAAAAGGACCTTTATTCCTTCCAGATCATGTTCCTCAGTCTTTTCTGTAGTGTAAGTAACATACCAAAAGATAGAATGTCAAAAGTGTTTTAAAGTAGAAAGCAACATGCAGTCAACGTTGTAGACAGGGGTAATAAATGCACAGCAAACCAGGCTGCATGTTGTCAAAGATAAGTAAATACAGACAGATGATTCCTCCCAGCTAAAATCCCAGCCTGCAGCAAATGGGATGGCCTAGAATACAGCAGATGGCAACTCAGGCCCTTTTCCTTGCTGCATTTTGGAAACTTGATGGAAAAGGAAGGTTTGCAAATGAAGAGACAATAATGGTTCATACTGTGCCAGGACTGCCCTCTCCCCGATGGGGAGGTCTTTCAGACTCAATGTGCTCTGTGCTGCTCTTAGAGAACATCCAGGCTGCAAAGCCTGAGGCTCAGTGTACAACATGCTGCTGCTTTTTTCCTTCTCAGGCCGAGGATCAAAAAAAGAAAAATGACAGCATCCAGCCTTCCCTCCAGTGGCCAGCGGTGCTGGGGCACGAAGCCATGCCACACGCCAGGATGGGATCTGGCAGCAGTTCCAGCCCCTGCACCCCCGCGCCGCAGAGAGCCATGTTAGTACAGGTATGGTACTGCCACCCAGATGGGGAGGAGAAAGTATGGGTGGCTCCTAAGCAGAACAACGCATCAGAAACCTGATTCCCTTTGCTCCTGACACAAATGACTGAGGCCTATGCAAACCAGCTCACAAGTTTTTTGTGTCATCGTGTGCTGCTAAGTTCTACGTGGAATTGTGCTTAGGCACTGCAGATCAGAGTTAGTTATTTCTATATGCTTGATGCATGATTGCTGATTCCATGATATTACTCTTAGATGTTTCACAGAAAGCCTGAACGACTGTGCTGTTTCAGTCCCTGGATGATGTATTATTTATATGGCATCACAGATGCATATGGCATTTTACAAAACAAGTCCAAAGCCAGAGTTTTTATCCCTGAAGACCGTATAAACAAGCAGCTTTGTTAGTGATTTTATGAAATAATCTAGGAGTATATGGAGATGTAATAAGGACTAATTCAGTCAGATTTTGCTTGTATATAGAGCCCAGAAAGTCTGTGACTTGAAAAATTTCAGTATTAGAGGTAGAAGTGGTACTAAATAGTAACTATACAGTGAAAACACTCTGATAAATATTTGAATTGGAATCCTTCTCTTGAAAACATCTTAGCTCCTGCTGTTTCTGCCAGTTCTGGGAGAGTTGATTCAGGGTTTTCCCAGTGTGCCCAAAAAAATCTTCTCCCATTCAATATCCTACTCTTTCACAGTCTGTGAAATAAATAGCTTAGACTGCGGTTACTTTTTTCTACAGTCTCTTGTGAAATGACTATAAGCATGTGGGAGCAAAAGTAAAACAAGACAGCAAGGAGAAAAGGAATAAACTACTGTAAGTGTGAGCGCAGCTCACTTCTCAAGTTTGTCCAGGTCCCTCTGGATGGCATCCTGTCCCTCAGGCGTGTCAACTGCACCACTCAGCTTGGTGTTGTCTGTAAATTTGCTGAGGATGCACTCAATCCCACTGTGTCATTGATAAAGATATTAAACAGTACTGGTCCCAATGACCAGTGAGGGACACCTCGTCACTGATCTTCATGCAGATGTTGAGCTGTTGACCACTACTCTCTGTATGCAACCATTGAACCAATTCCTTGTCCACCAAACGTTCCATCCATCAAATCCATATCTCTCTGATTTGGAGAGAAAGATGTTGTGGGGGGACCCTGTCAGAGGCCTTACAGAAGTCCAGATAGATGTCATCTGTATCTCTTTCCTTGTCCACTGATGTAGTCACTCCGTCATAGGAGGCCACTGGGTTGGTAAGGCAAGACCTGTCCTTGATGAAGCCATGCCGGCTGTCTGGAATCACCTCCTTGTCCTCCATGTGCCTTAACATAGCTTCCAGGAGGATCTGTTCCGTGATCTTCCCAGGCACAGAGGTGAGACTGACAGATTGGTTGTTCCCAGGGTCCTCCTTTCTACCCTATTTAAAAATGTGTGTATTCCCTTTTTCCAGTTGCTGGCGATTTCACCTGACTGCCACGACCCTTCAAATATCATGAGAGTGGCTTGGCAACTACATCAACCAGTTCCTTCAGACTCTGGGATGCATCTTGTCAGGTCTCATAGACTAAAGTATGTTTGGGTTCCTCCAATAGTCTTGAACCTGGTCTTCTCTTACATTTGGAGCTCCCTCTGGCTCTTGTGGTCCATCCACTCTGGAGGTGTGGGAAGAGAGGTTTCCAGTGAAGACTGAGGCAAACCAGTTGTTGAGTACCTCACCCTTCTCCTTGTCCATTGTTACCAGTTTGCCAGTCATGCTCATTGGTGGGGTACACTTTTTCTGACCTTCCTTTTCTGGCTGACATGCCTGTAGAAGCCCTTTGCCTCCCTTGCCAAGTTCAGCTCCCACTTGCCTTGGCCTTCCTGACCCCATTCCTACACAACCAGGCAACATCCCTATACTGTTTCCAGGATAAATGTGCCCTCTTCCACTGCTGCTGCATTTCCTTCTTGCCCTTTATTTTGACCAGCAGGTCTCAACTCAGCCATGCACGTCTCTTGCCTTCCTTTCCTGATTTCTTACACCTGGAGATCGAGAGCTCTTGCACTCTATGGAAAGCATCCTTAAAGATCTGTCAGCTCTGTTCTGCTCCCTTGTTCCTGAGGGCAGTTTGCAAGGGGGTCCCATTGACTAACTCCTTGAACAACTGGCATTTTGCTTTCCTAAAATTCAGGGTCCTGACTTTACTCTTCAGCTGACCCATATACCACAGGACTCTGAATTCCACCAGTGCATGATCACTGCAGCCCACGCTGCCCTCAGTCATGATGTCACAGATTAGCTCACTTCTGTCGGTGGTCCAGTGTCACATCCCCTCTGGTAGAGCTGGCTGTTACCTGACTTAAGAAGTTACTCTCAGTGTGGTCCAGGAGCCTCCTGCATTGCCTGCAGCTTGCCCTGCTACTTTTTTAGCAGATGTCAGGGTGGTTGAAGTCCTCAGCAGGGTATGGACAGTGCCTTAAAAATCATGTCCTTGTTAGTGGCTCTCTATACTGGCCATGTCAAGCTCAGCATGTCTTGAGCCAGCCCTCCTTGTAGCACCATTCTCATGTTTGCCCTTTTTCTCAGGTTGTGCTTCACAAAGCATTCCACAGGTGCTCCTTCCCCAGGAGCCAGGTTTCTTGAAGATCAGGCTCCCTGACTTAGCTCTCTCCTGTTGTTCTGCTTCTGTTTATGCTCTGGAGCGAGTCTGTAGGAGGCAGATAATAGCTGGATATTAGCGTCTTTAAGTCAAAGCCTCCCTGTGCCTTTCCTGTACAGGTTGCTGTTTGGTGATGGTGAAACAATCACCACATACAGTTGTTGGGAGAAGAAAGGCCCTGTTTCACCTGATAGATTTTACCTGGGAAAATATTTTTGTATCTTCTCACATCCTTTTTTCCATGCCCTCTTTGTCATTTCAAGTCACAAGTATCATAACTGGCCTCGAGTTGATGGCCTGGCTTGTAGCATCAAATCACTGGAGAACACTTGTAAGGTCTACAAGAAGGACATTTGTATCTTAGCCTTGGGTAAAGGCTGTCAGCTTCCTTGAGGTGAATATTTCAGCCCTGCAATAGAAGTGTGAGGGTCCATAGTTTATTGCAGGACATTTGGGATTCTGTAGGAGCACAGTGACTCTGCAGAGGATAGCCCTGCCCTGTTAAAATGCCACACCTGGGATGAAAGGAGCTACATTCTAGGCTGGTTGCGTCACCTGGAACAAGTCACTTCATTCCTTTGCACTTTGTTGGTGCTTCCCTGTTTGGTAGTAGCTCTCCCAGCTGCCGAGGGGAGTGGTGAGTGATGAAGCAGTGTTTACCAACCGCCTTCACATTCTTTGATGGAAACTATGCTATAAAAATTTTATACTGTTTAAAGTGATGGTGTTACTTAAGGATAATAGCAGTGAGTGATATACAGTTGTTACCATGTGATTTTACTCCCTGCTGGTAGCTGCCCTGTTACCCACTCACAAGTCAGTGCTCCAGCTGATAGATACCATGTGGACAGGGAGAAGCCAATCTGTACGCCTACCCGCTGCGTTAGCATGGAGACCGGGTGAACTTCAATGGGTAATTTATAAATCCTCTGAAGGGTTGTGTTTCTTTTTGCTGGTTGGCAGCAGTTGTTGATGCTAATAGTGACATGTTTGGATATGCTGCCTGCATTAACTGTTTGAAGTGTTAAAGCAATGTGAGTGATGGACCAGTTAGTCACCTAGAGGTTAAAAGATTCACAGCAATATACTTGTGAAGTTCAGTATGTGGGTGCCTTGTTGATTTAAAGTAAAAGTGAACTGTGAGGTTAGAATGCAAGCTGAATTCATCACAGATGTCTGTGCTGAAGAACTTCCAGCCAGGTTTGTCAGAGAGGGATCATCTGTCATCACTGCTCTGCTCAGACAAAAATGACTTCTCATTTTTGACAATCGTACTCTGTGAGATTTTGTGGCACGTCCTGGTTGCCCAAATCTCTTTCAAAGTTATTTCACTGGAAATCTTAACACAGCCCCTGAGGTGCAGGGAGCATGATTTCTCAGTGTCTTGTAGCCTGTCTGGCAAGGGAATGTGAGAGATTACCAGATCAGGGTGTACCAATTCCGCCTGTTCTGTGTTTGCAGCGCAGTAGCAGATCTGGCTCTCTGGTTGTGGTGGTGTGGGATGAGCTGTTCTGGGCTACCTGCAGAATTTCACAAAGACTTCTTGAACAAAGTCACTGAGTCTGTTTCTCTGCCCAGCGTCCCCTGCCGCCTGACTAGTGGAGAAATTTAGCTCACATCTGAAATGAGCTCCATTTTTTAATTGACTCTGTGGTTTTCCTGTAGGATTTGCTAGCTAGATCTCCTCTATTGCCTGGAGTAATGTGGCTGAAACAGAACCTGAAAGCTAACAATATTAGAAGAGCTAACTGTGCATTAGGTCATGGATTGACCCAGTATCCCAGAGAAGTTCTGTTCAGAATTTTAAGAAAAGCCTTTTCCTTATGCTGTGTTGTAACAACAGTTGCGCTTACCTACCCCCTATATGTAGATCAGTTCAGATTAGTAACTTAGGCACCCTCTGAAAAGCAATGCAGTCTATCTTTTTAAAGCTTCTTGCTTCTAAATCTTTTTAAATTAATCAGTTTTTTGTACTATATCACTTTATGTTATAATTTCAGGGGACAAAGGGTCCTTTGCCTTAGCTCTGTTAGGTGTGCCTTTATGGTTTGAAGACACACAGTAGGTAACACTGTCTACCAGTGCTTTCTGTGCATCAGAGGAGCTGCTGTTCTTTCAGTATTACTTATAATAAAAACAATTTAAGGCTCAAGTCTCAGTAGTTTAGAGTCATTGTTAGTTTTTTTAAAAAAAGATTCCCCCATACAAATTATTTTATCAGTAAAACTTAAGTGGAATATCAAACACTATGATTTTGGGGGTTATCTGAGACATTTCTAGCTTGCTGTGGAATTGCAAGGTCTTGTCGGTCCTGCAGAGATCATCCCAAAAGCAGGTATAACTTCTTGGCTTTACATGGAACCAGTGTACTGGTCTCTCTCTGCCCAAAGAAGGTATGTGGGTATCATCTGCACAGTTTGGATTCACCAAGTCACTTATATCATGATTCGGCAAAGCTTATCCATGCTTTTAAGCACAAATAGTTTTCTGGTAGTCTGCAGGACTGAAAAGCTGGAATTTAGGAAGAACTGTAAGTATCTTGTTGAAAAAGTGGCAAGGAAAAAAAAAATCTTCCCATATGCTGAAAATAATACACTTGCTATAAAACCTATTCCTATACGCACGATGAATTGTTTCAGGGGAACATTTTGCTGTTGAAATAATTCTTGGTTAACTGAAAACTGTTATTAGTGACCATCATGTTGGACAAAAATGTAGTTTTGACAAAATGAAAGGACATGGATTCTGAGATGTTATAACTGCTGAAAAAGCTATTTTCTATAAAGGGAGTCAACAGAACATATTGTCCCAAAAAGGCAGGAAAAGCACCTGAATAATAACTAGGTGAACTTCTCAGGACTGTTTTTCAGCAGCTGACTTTGCCGTGCTGGTCTGGGAGGTTGTGATGGGATGTTTGAATAAATGTTTGGCATCTTTAACTAGTTTTTAGAATTACTACCTGTCAATATTTAAGTGATTTTGAACATTATCTCATGAAATTAGTATTGTAGAGTTATTTGGAGTTCATAATCATATTGTATTATTGAAAAGCTGTGTGCAGTTGTTCTGTGTATTTACTTTTAGGAGTGGGGAGTTGGAGACTTTTGTAGACTTGGGCTGATAAGTCAATAAAATATTCATGTGAATCATTCTTTGGCAAAACTGAACAGCTGCCTCTGATCTGAGTTGCAGTAACTCAATTGGGACACAAGACTTTTATCTTTGACTCGGACAAAAATGGCTAGCCTCTTTCTTAGACCTGCAAGTGGTGGGGATGTTGGTCTTGCCGTACATTTGAGGCAGAAGTGCCTCCCAACAGAGATGTGTTAGCATGTTGGGGCATGGGCTTCCTTCTGCTGCGGGAAGGATGTCAGCCCGTGGTGTTCCTGCTGGCTGTGGTGTCTCAGGAGAGGCCAAGTCCTGCTTCGGATGGGAGGTCTGACAAGATAAAGCATGAAGTGGTATAGCTTCAGGCATTTCTCTAATATTTTTTTCTATTTCTGTAACATCAAATTGGTTCTAGCATAGCAGTCTCTCAAGATGGGCCCAGCTCACACAGCATTTCCGTGTGTTCTGTCTCAGTCTTGTGTCCAAGAGCATTTCTCATTTCAGGGAGGATCAGTACATTCAGTTGACATTTTTAGCTCTCTGCCTTTCCTCCCCTTTGGAAGATGCCAGTGTAAGAGATCATTAGTATGTAGAATTTAATGGCTCGCTCTTCTGTGTATCTTTTTTTCCCCCCCCTTTTAATATAGAAAGAATCAAAGGACCAACTTTTGAGCACTTTAGTTTGAGTTTTACACTGCTTACTTGTTGTTCCCTTGGAATGAAGACTTTGTAAGAAAGTGATTTGTTTTCTCCCCTGCCCCCACCACGATTAGGGCATTTGCTATCCTAATGTGTTAATTTAATACATTTGAAGGTATCTTTATAAAAAACACAGGTGGTCTCAATGGGAGCACCTGGACATTACACCCATGAGGTATAGTCTGGGCACGTTTCTTATTTCTTTCTTATTGCATTCTCAAGTTACTGCAGAGGAGGGCCAGGGCACCCTTAGAACCACTGGAGAGTTGAAAGCGACAGTTTGTCTCCATTGACTCAAGGCTGATGGTGGGCTTGCAAAGAGTAGTTTAGAAGTCAACATCTAACTTAGTGATTATACTAGCTAAATTCTAAATGTAATTTTTGCATCATCGAGTTAAGTAGTTCACTGTGTGTTGCCAGTGACCCATTAGCTTCTCCACAGGTTTAAGGAGGGGAGATATATGTACAGCATAGATGGTTTTGCCATTTCTCTTTATTGTACCCTTCACCTTGAAATATTTGTGCCTAACATGCTGGAAATGAATAACTTACTTCACAGTAACAAGGTGAGTAGGGCTATATCCAAACACAATACTCCTTGTATGTTTACTAAAAATTAGATTTCACAAACAGAGTAATTGATATATGTTGAGACTGCAACCTGTTACATCGGCAGGGAAGTACAATTCAACATGTATTTCATTTGTTTCAAGTGTGAAAATTTCCGGGCTAGTAAGGATGTGTACCACAGCAGTTCACTGTCAGATATGGTGACGACACCACTCAGCCCTGTGCAGGATGACGTATTCTGGGGCATGAGTCAAAACGAAGAACCACCCCCAAAGGTATGTGAAACTCAGGGTGTTTGGCACTGTTGGTGGTTAATAGCCAGTTCCCCTGTGATGTGTAGTATCCATCCCCTGGACTTCATGAAACTCAGGGTAAATCTCATTGCTTGTACAGTTTCAGTAATCTAGAACAAAGACATGGATTTATAAGCAGGTCAGTGTTGTGAGTTTATGCGTATGTATATAATATCTGTGAGATCTGAGAATGCAGGTACATTTCTTTTGTTAGACCAAGTATTTGTAGCTGCACTTTCTGTGAAAAATCTGGCTTGTTGCAGAAAAGCTCATTAGCTTTTGTAAGTCAGGTGATGGTGTATTTCTCTTTTTAACAGAATTTCTAAGAATATTTGTGCAGGGATGTATATGTGCGTGCATGCGTGTATTCATTTTATGACTTTGCAGTTGGGTGGGAGTGTATGTGTGTCTCTTCCCCCAACCCTTTGGCAGCAACATAAGGTAATCCACCACCTAGGGAAAGCTGCGTTAAGTGACTGCAGATGTGTTTCCACGTCTGCTTTAAATATTGACCAAGAATAGTGCTGACTCCAAGGAAAGGTGCAAACCACTTGCAGTCTGCACCCTGATAGATTGCGCAGCCTTGGAGCAAATTGGAAGCACCTGCTGCTGACTTGCAGATTTCAGTGTTGATATCATGGAATACGTCTCCACAGGTCCCACTGAAGCATTATTCATTTATGTTGGTTAGTCTTTATTTTTGCATTGATACAGGGTAAGCATTATGTTTATTAACTGAGTCTAAACTATCAGTAGCAACCTTAACATGTTTGATTAAATCTTTAAGGTTCCAGAAAGGACAACCTCTAAATTTTACAGCAGGGATCAGCCTGGCCAACAGAGATGCCTTTCAAGGTAAGCTCATAAGTGTTTTATGTTTATACTAACATTGATTTATTGTCAATAGGAAAACTAAAACAAACGTATTAAAAATAAAGCCATAACCTCGGTAACACCGAAACTGGTATGGGTTCACACCTCATTTAATACCTGTTACAGTTTTGTCTTCTGAGTCAGTTGGTCCACAAAAATAACTAATCATGCTTCCTGATCTTAAACCTGAAGGAAGTGTCTAAGACAGCTTCCTTTTAATGATTGACATAACTGATTTAAAGAGAAACCAGCCTCTTTTAGATCTCTTCCTTCTTTTCATGTGAGTTAGTCCTGTTTTGTGCTGGAAAGCAGTATTTTTAATATGTAAGGGCTGTTCTGTCTGTAATAATTCCTGCATTGAGTTGTTTCATTGGCTTCAGCCAGTTTGGCGTGCCCAAGTGGGTTGCACACAAGTTGTGCGTCCGTTTCCCAGTTAACAGGCAGCACATTGTGCAGTCATTTAACTTCTTGTGATTTGGTGACGCTTTACTTTCTTGTGATTTGGTGACGCTTTACTTTCCCTTCACGTTAGAGTAAGTGGATGCTGAAGGTGCAGGGTATTTGAGGTCCTAGCCTATCGACACTGATGGTGGCTGATGGGATTGCTGATGGGCAGGGCTGCCTGGATACTCTTGTAGATGCTCTACATCAGTGCTGTCACCATTGGTTTCAAAGGAGAGTTGGCTGCCTGGATACTTTGGCGAGTGGGGGTCTGGCCCCAACTCCTTGTATAGACACTTACAGTTATAGCTTGTGAAGCTTGTGACCGTAGCTTTGTTTTGCCTGGTAGTAGCTTGAACAGCCTGTGTGTAGATGTATCTTGACTATTTTGGCAGTCTGCCCTTAAGACTGGTATACTTTTTTCATATCCCAGGAGAAAAGACCAAAGATGCAGATTGCTCAGTGGTTATGGGTAGCCCCCACTGGATGTCTTATCAGGGAACATAATGCTGTGAGAAACTAGGGTTGGAGAGATTTGGAAGGGAAGTAGGTTTAGCTGATATAACAAAACAGTATGCAGCACTTGTGATGAGCCAGAGTCAGAAACATCATCTGACATAACTTTCAAGTGTAGTCAAGCCCTAAATACTCTCTACTTAGAAATTATACAAGGCAGAGCAGGAAAAAAACAATCTAAGTAAACCACAGTGTTAGAAATGAGTGGTTTCTGAGCCTGGGTTTCTGGGTGAGCCACTGTTTTACTTCACAAGCTTGGCAGCTTGTTTTACTGTCTGATGCCTTCCTTTATCCACTTGTAAGTGGGTGATGATAAGTGATCTTCTAGGAGGGTGCTGGAGCAGGTTTCGATATTTGTAAAATTCATGAGACTTTGGAATCAGGAGTGACACAGATCTGAGGAGGCCAAGGGAGGTGTCCTTATAGTAGGATATTTTGTAATGACTTGGGAATCTAGAATGACTGTCCTCTCTATCTTCTCTCGCTATTGAGTGGCCGTGCTTGGAGCAGCAATAAATACAAAATTTTTGTTTATCAGGAGTATGATATCATACAGTAACAGGAGGGAACTCGATTCAGTGGCCTAGGAGGTCCATTCCAGTCTGTGTTCCTGCATGCAAGATAATCGGATCTGCTTTTTGTCATTCTGTTTAGTAACACTCATCAGTCATCCCCCGGGGGACATGCTCTGAAGCTGAACAGCGCCAGCAGCACTCCTGGCAACAAGCAGTGGGAGATGGGATCTCACCAGAGCAGCTGGTCAACCTCAGGTGATTCCTAAGTCAAAGATTCATTAGTCAAAATGTGCAAAATTCTTATCACATGAAATGGGGTTCTGCAGTGTGTCAAGTGCTGCATTGCAAATGGGATTTTGTTTTTAACAATGTCTTCTGGTGATAGACTTTTGAAAGCTCTCTGGATTTTATGGTTCCATGTTCCTAAAATATAAATACTTCCTCTTTTGAGTCAAAAAGTGACTGTGAATATATTTCCATACAGAAAACTTGAATTGCCTCAATTAAGAATTGAAAAACATCACTTCTGTTGCACTTAAGGAGACCAATGAAACTCAACAGAGCCAACATTACAGACATAATTCAGTACTAATGTTCACTCATTGGCATTTTCTGCATAACTGTATGCTGCTTTTTTGCATTTCCCATTGATGATACAGATGAGTAGTTGCTGCACACTACTATTTCTGCACTCTAATAACGTACTGGCTGAATGAAGCATAAGATTGTCTGTACAACACCTTATGAGACATTCCTCCAGTATTATTTTATTTGCAGAAAGATAGTGGAACTGAAAAAAAAACCCCAAACCAAACAAAGTTAAAAGATAGAGATAGCCTCATCCAAATTTTAGTAAAATGCAGCTTTCTAAGCTATGTTGGTATCCCTGGTAGCAGTGTAGGAACACTGTTGGCTGGCTGATGGTTGTGCAGATTTTTTTGCAGTACAGACTCAGGTTCCTGAGACATGACCTGAGATTCTGGCAGATGGGGACATGAAGTAGAAGTGGACAGCTTTGTTACTCTATAGTTATTCCTGAGGGTGTTTTCTGTGAGTCAGCTGCAGGGCAATTTCTTGTGTAGCTCCTTGCAAAGCAGTGGTGTGTTGCAACGCTTTGCATCAAGGCTGACTACTAAAGATGGGGGACATGAGGAATCACACCCAATTTGAAGAAGGGTGGATGCTAAAAATGTTCTGAAACCACAGCAGTGAGCTGCTGAGGTAATTTATTTTTAAACTGAGGCTCACATTGTTAATTTGTAAGTCCTTGATAATGAAGAACTAATTGCTTATTTATTACACTTACACAATGAAGCCAGTTTTGTTTTCACTAACTACACAGAATAGGAAGTTTGGTTTTAAGAGAAATCCAAAGCACACTTGAAACTGCTCGAGTTTTGTTTCTTTTTGCTCTTATGTAATTTTATGTTTGAATAACAGCAGAGAGATGAACAATGTGCAACAGCCCAGCTCAACTTTGCAATGTCTGTGTGATGTGTAACTCCTGTGCTATTTTGGCATGGGGAAGTGAAAACCTCACCAGCAATGGAAAGAATAGAAAACCTCCCTTGTGATTTAAACTGTCTCCTTCGGTTCTTAAGTGTCATTAAATTACAGCTAGTTTCTGGCATATGGTGTTCCAGAAAGAGTTTGTTGCTTTCCCAAACCCACAGGGATAATGAATTGGGCAGGAAAGGGCTATAAATACTTTAAAGCTAATAATTCTGCTGAGTTGCTTAGGTACTCATTGACCAATAAGGAATTCTGAATTTTAAAAGCTTTGCAAAATGTGCGAAGCCATTGTGGTAAAACTATCTAAATTACCAAATACAAGTCCTAATTTGTGTGAGCTTGAATTCTCCCCTTTAACTTGCAAGGAGTCCTGTTGGTAGCCTGGGATAGTCATGGGAAAAATTGCTGAACGAGGTAGATGTTGAGCTGGCTAGTGTGTCCCAGTGGCAGGGTGAGGGCACATCTGCTTTCACTCCCTTCACTTGCATCAGGAATTCCGTATGGAAGACAGCATCTCTCCAAGGCTGCTTTTGCTCTTCCCAGGTAGCCTTGCGGGCAGTGGGGGCATTGAAAGGGAAGATTTGCTTAATTACTTGCAATCGTCCCTTCTAACGTGGCATCAGCACATGCAGATGATCTCCAGCAACTCTGATCTTGTTTGCTTGGGTAATCAGTAGCTGTGCAAGCATGATAGCAAGCGTACATCCCCGTGCCACCTGGGAGAGGGAAGCATCGTGCCACAGCTTCCTTCCTGCCCATACCTGACCTTGGGTAGGTGCCACTTCACACTGAGTTGGCCCACAGCAGGGGCCAGCTCTCCGCAAAAATGAGGGTGCAGAGTGGAAGTGAGAGCTGAGAAGTGGCGCTCCGTGTGCCCCAAGGCAAGCAGGGGCTGGAACATGGGTCTCTCTGTGCTGCCATGGGAAGTGGTGAATCCTCTTCTGCTTTTAGCTTGACCCCATGCTCATGAGTGCAGCACTCAGCCCCGTTGGGTTTACAGAACCAGACATTTTAGTCTGGTTTTGTGCAACAGTTTTATGAAGGCCAAATCTTGGCAACAAGTCTGTTTGCTCATGCAAATGTGCATTGGGGTCCTGGGCTCTTGTACCCTCTCTCTCTCTGACCACGCTGTCTGCAGTATATATGTGGTATATAAGTGGGTGGCACCTTTAGTGCTGGAATATGACCAGCAGTTGTTGATATAGCTATCTGCCCTCGGGAAGAGGATCAGAGGAAGGGCTTAGCGTACCCTCACCCTTGCAAGCTGCCTTCCAATCCATGGAACTGTTGCTGATGCATAGTGGGAGTATGTTGCCAAGGTTTTGGTCTGCTTGTCTTAGTCTTCAGCAATAAACTGCAGAGTATCAATTTATATACATAATACTGTGGCATCCAGAACTACTGGGAAACAAGCAAAAAGATTTCTCTTTGCAACAAAGAGGAAAAAAAAAGTTAGTCAGCAGAAGCTGGTGTCTGCTGTGGGTGGTAACTATATGTGCTTGTCTTACTGTTCCCCTCTGTCACTCTGCTGCAGATGCATTTAAAATAAGAAACTGTTTGTTGTTTTTCAATCCCCCAGGGAATCCAGGACCGGCCAAGGCAGAGAATGCTTTGTCCCAGAACCACCTGCAGCTACATAAGAAGTCTGAAAAAGTTTCTTATCTCGGCCAGATTGCAGTAGGTTCTTTTAAATCCGCTGATATTTTTGATTTGTTCATAGTTTTCACTGAGGGCATGTCTATGCAGACAGCTCCACTATTGGTACTGGGATTTGGTAGCTGATGAGTCCACTTGAGAGGCCCCGTGGGGCTGGCTCGAGCTTACTGCTGTGTTAACGTGTCTTATCAGCTTTTGGTCCAGGTCTGACTTGTGTTCAGCTCAAGTTGATGGCAGAGAGTTCAGTTTTCCTGAACCTGACTGATAATAACTTTAGAAAGGAAGGGTATGTCTTTAATATTTCAGGCAGTCATTGATCAGTTGTAATGCAATCCAGAAGTCAAGACCATGCCAGTGGCTTGTGCAGATACCTGGTGTGTAGCTGCCTGGATTACGTGCTACCAGGCTGTGACACGCTCTGTCCTGGCTCTCTGTTAGCTGATGTGCCACTGATGGAAAGGGTGATTGCCACTTCTCTGTCTTATTTACTGAGGAATCTCTTTTCTTTAGTGGTGTTGAGCTGGTGGGGGATGTCTGTCAGGCACCTGGAGCTCACGGTGCCTTGTGCAAGAGCTCACCTGTGGGATGCTTGGCATTTTGCAAGCAGGCCTGGGTGGCTCCGGGGGTTGCAGAGTGGGACAGCAGGGGACAGCTACACCTTACTGGAGTCCCTGGCACCTCCTGGCTTGTCAGGGACCAGAGGTTTGAAGAAGACTCTGTGTTTAGGCCATTGCCAATAATATGGGAGGCCTGGATATGAGTTTTCTTAGGACTGGGATGTCTCACTGCCCAGTGGGTGTGAGCCGTGGCTCTGTGATATTGCCCTTCCAGCTCAAAGGTGCTTCAAGCCTGGTCCACACTGGCACAGCCTGTGCTCAGGCATGGCCCTGCAGGCCTCGAGGTAGTCCAGGGCTGGAATGGAACTCAAGCCAGTGTAATTCTTTAGCCCTGGTGCAGAGCATTCCTTTTCTTGTGTGAAAAAGGAAATACTTCTGTGCTCCTGAAAAGTGTGAAAATTGAATCATAGATGTTTGAGATTCAGAATCACATACTGACTGAAGTTAGTCACCTTTCAGCTTTTAGCAAAGTTGGGTGTTTTGGCTTAGGTTGCTTTTCTGTGTGAAATACCCACTTGTGATGGACCAACAAAAGCATCAACTTCCTAATAAAGCTTTTTTGGCATAGAAGTGACAATAAGTATATTTGCTGGGACAGTAAAATACTGCACATACTGTTTAGCGATGGGTTTTTCTATGAGAAAAAAACCCAACTGCGTTTTCTTTACTCAGAGTCCAGGCTCCTTTGCCAAGGGGAAGGACAGTGCCAGCTCATTCTTAAAAGCAGCAGACTACTCCTCATCAAGTGACGAAGTCAGCAGCAGCGATGAAGATGACATGAACCACACAAGGTTGGCTTGATTATTTTTTTAAATTACTATTATTTTTTTTCCTTTTGATTACACACTTCTAAATATCTGGAAAGAGTTGGCATACATAAATACTACCTCCCCTCTGAAGTTACTATCAGTCATTTATGTCAGTTGTAATTAAGCAGTTTAATCGTGCTATAATGAAGTCCCGGGGGTAAATCTCTGCTGCATCAGATGTTTGCAGTGTAATAAGCTTTGATGACTTGCTGCCCTGGGACAATGAGGAAATGTCTCATTTTAACTGAATATCAGTAGGTAGTGCTTTTAGAGAGATTACTTCACATTGATCTATGTTTAAATGGAGTTTTTGAAAGAAAAAAGGAGAGGAAAAGAAAACTATGTGCCTTCATGCTAAATACAGGTTACAGTGAAAAAAGCAAGGCAGACACGACCCTTGTATTCAGATAGTGTACTCTGGGATAAATAATTACCACTGAAAAGCTGGTTGCTTCATTCACAAGGCTGTTTATAAAGAGGAGACAGTGTAAGCAGGATTTATTTTTATAAAATTTGCTGTATTTTTAACATTGTTGTTTTACACAATTGCTGTGATTGCCAGATGATGCTGTGGCTTGTACCAAGCTGATCTCACCTGAACTCTTTCTCTGTAGCTTTCCAGTTTCTCTTGTTGATTTTGTGACTGACATCTTGTGGTGTTCTACCTGTCATGCAAAATGTGTATTCTGCTGAGAAATAATGGAGCGTGAATAGCTTGATAGTCCAAGTGAAAGAGAGTTGGGGGATCACAGTTGGCCAGCCCTGCTGTTTGGAACAGCAAACAATTATTTTTTTAGTATTGCTGAATGAAACTTCTAATTTTCTTGCAAAGAGACCAGTTTAATTCAAGTTCTAGGATTTACTTTGAAATGCATCATAGGACCACAGAGCAATGTGGGATGGGGCTCTTGCTCTTCTGACATAATTGCACATGCAGTTTTGTCAGTCTTCAGGAACAGATTTGTAGCACTGTTGGCAAGCTATTGTGTTGGCCTGGCACCAGTCCTTTCCCCTGTGCTGCTCTGAAGATGGTGGAGTTTTTGTGCTTGCATATGCTCCTCATTTGCATGTCTGAAGTTCATTTTCAAAGCTGAGAGATGAGGAGGGAGAATGTTAAAAATCTTGTAGATTATGCAGTGCACCTGAAAGAGCTTTCTACTGTAATGCCTTTATTTTCTTACTGCTCCTCTTCCAAACCACCTTATTCTGATCTGTAAAAAGTTTTATTCACTCTAGGTCATAGAATTCATCCTAGACCTCAGAAAGACTCTACATTAAAAATATGGAATTGCCCTGTAGCAATGACTTTGCTGTGTAAGTGTTAGATTGCTGTGATCCTTGCATGCTGTAATGTTTTGAAGGAGCGGTATCACTGCCTTTGGAAATCTGCATGTGTTATTTGCATCTCCTCTGTGTGTGAGGTCCACCAGTCCTCTAGAGAGGTGGAATTAGCAGGATGATCCCTGTCAGGTTTGCCTTCCTGTGCACACAGCCACTGCAAAAACTCCTGTAAAATCAAAAGTATAATCTTGTCTATTAACCAAGTCCCTTCACCTCAGCTGAATGTCACTTCTATTGAAAGATAGATACTTTGGGAAATATATCCTGACTACTACCAAGTAAATAGCAAAAAGGATAGTGATCAAAGTGAAAACAGCAGCCAGCACTGAAACTTTGCATATCCTGGATAAAGTGAAGGTGTTTGTTTTTCTTGCTATCTAAAGCATGTGAATGCAGGATCTGAAGCCCCTTGCAGTCTGTAGGAGTGTTTTTGTGTGGGCTTTGGCTGAGACACCTTGGGCCAAGTTGTAGTTGGCTATTGAAAATAATCTGTGTTTTCTTGTTCTTGCCTGGGCTGTAGAACAGCTTTTGATCTCCATGCTCCACCTTTCATGGAGGTGTCCAGCAGGACTAGACTTGGGACATGCAAGAGAAACAGCTTCATAGTCTCTTGGACAGACTGTTATTCTCTTGGACATATCCTGTTAACCACCCTGAGAAGACTCATTTCTGAGCAAGCCAGGACTAAGGACAGCTGTCTTTGACCAGTAAAACAACTTTTGGTCTTGTTTTTCTTTTCAGTGAGATGAGCCAGAATTCTTCCTCCCACCAGGTGTTTTTTGGTTTTTTTTTTAAGGAAAGGATGTCAGTGTATGTGATTCAGCATCTTACCTGCTTGTATAACATGTCTATTCCATTGATGCTAATTTCTCCTATTGAGAATGCTTCCTCTTCCGATGCCTGCAGCATTCACAGTCCCCCTAGAACACTGAGTTTCCTGGGGCTCGTTTTGTATATTCAGTTTCCTCTCTCCGTTCTGCATGTGCTGTTCCCTACCAAAATTTGAACAAGGTGGGTACAGATGTGTGCTTGGCTAGGAATTACTTTCTCCCCCTAATAAGTAGGAGGTTGAATCATTTATGATCAGCTGCTGGTTTCTTTCCTGATAAGAACCAGATCCCTGCCCTCACCATTGATTCTACTCCCTATCTTGCCATTCATTCTAAGTTTAGTATGCAAATATTTACCCTTCCCATAGAAGTGGAGGGGGACCCAAAACCAAAATACAAATAACAAAAAAAGCCACAAAAACTCTTTCACAGCAATCTTAAGTCAGTAGCTCTCTCACCAAACCTCCTTTGTTATTGCATTGGGCAACATTTAAAAAAAAACCCCAAACCTTACAGTTGTGGTGTGGCACTGTAGAGCCCTTCACACCAGCATCCTTAATCCAGTTTTATAATTACTGGAAAGGAGGCAGAAATGTCATAGGCTTAACTGAATGGCAGTAATAAATAAATGAATATAAATAATGGAATGAATAAATAATGTGGGTTGTAAATGCAGAGAAATGAGGCCAGAGCCTTGCTGACAGAAGTTTGAGGCAATTCCACTTGGGTGAAAAAGTTTAAAGCACAAAGCTACTGCTGGTTGTGTAGGAAGCCAGTATGTTGGGGTATATCCCAGCAGGTGTTTGCTTTGTTCTTACTCTTTCTTTAGGCATCTGCTTTTTGGTCACTGTTGAGGACAGGATACTGGGCTGGATGGGCTTTTGACCCCAGCCAGTCCAGCAGCTCCTACATTCTTCTGCCTCTGTGCTCTGGGCAACTTTTCCTTAGTTTCTTTCTATGTAAGGTGAGGATATCCATGTTTCAAGGACTGATTCCCAGTATGAAATTCCAGTGTAGCCTGTCCCAGCAGGCACTGGCAGAGAGGTCCCCAATACCATGAATCTCCTCCTTGCAATGCAGCTGGTGCGCTTTCTCTGGAGAGCAGGGGTCTCATAATTGCACCCCGCAGGGTAGTGTATGAGGGGAGACAGGGGAAGTTTTGAAGTAGACACTTTTCAAATGGCAGCTTGAGGGACCAGCTCTCACTTTCATGAGCTATGCAGTGTCTGAAAAATGATGGGTGAAACGCAGGGAGATGAAGGGATGCTCTCCATTGAGGTGCCACTCTCCTGCTATGAGTGGTCCTCAGGCTTGAAGTCCGTTCCGGCACATCCACAGACTAATCGACTTGCTTTTGTACAAGATCCTTTATATGTAACTAGTGAATGTTAATGATGCTCACTTTTGAACATGTATGTGTGGGGTGTTTTACTTCTTGGTTTTTGGGCTCTTTCTTCTTCCCTGAAGTAGTTCTGTTCATTAATTGGAGTTTGTTACCAGGCAACTGCTAAGCAGCAGAGTGGCAGATTTCTCAAGGACAAGAGTACCAGATGGAATTGAACTGAAACCCCAAAGCACCGTCACAGAACAGAAGGTAATTTGGCCGTTTGTAAGGGGGTGGGTATAGTTGGGGGGGGAGTCAGATCGTTAATGTGCATGATAAACGCTGTATCCATTTCTTCCTGACAGCGTTTTCACTCTGAAGTCCCGCTCTGTCATTGCAAATTATAGCTATAAGCCTTGAAAAAATGTGCAGTTTCAGGTTTTGTGCTTCCTATAAAAATGCTTACATTTAGGTAGAAAATTGTGCTTCTTTATTTGTCCTTGTTATTGAGGTAGTTGTTTCTGATGTCAACGTATTTCTTGAAAGCACTGAGCAGGTTGCAAAAAGCAATACTGTTGATTATTATTGGTGTGTATTGTTGCTATTTTTAGAAATCTTGACCTCTTTTATTCCAGCTTAAAGAGAAGTACCTCTTATTACTTAAAATATTACCCAAAGAGGGGAAAAACACTTCATCTCTCCCTACTGGCTTAGCAAAAATGCATGTCTTCTCATATGTCATGTTGTGGTTCTTTCCCAGCTGTAGTTTCTAGTAGAGACTTCAAGTCATGTGGGTTTTCCCCTGTGATAAATATTAGTGCAGAAAAGATGAAGACAGACAAAGCAGAACAATGTTCTTTGTGGTCGAAAACAAAAAAAATTACAGTAATAAGACTTGCACTCAGCATCAGAGCGCTTCTCAGATATTACTGAGTGTACTCTTGTTTCACAGATAGGGAAAATAAATTGCTGTGAAACTGGTGTTTTCCCCAGAGCTGCTTGTGTGAACTGTGGCAGGGCTAAGGAAAATAAAAAAAGTTTTCTTTAACTCTGCTGTGATTTCTAAGCTTCAGACCAGCGTGGCATCCTTATTGACTGGGGAAGGAGTCCCACTTTGCCTTTGTCCCACCATCCTCAAGAAGAAAAGACCCTGCTTCAGAGAAAGAATTATAAACAGGACCAACTCAGTATTTTTCTTGTGGCAAAACCAGCCTGGTGCTTTTCCTTTCCCCAATACCCAGGCATTGAAAATAAGCTGCTGGGGGAACAGTGAAAGATGGGGTCTTTGAGGCCCAGACTGAGGATGAGGGAGGATGTAAAAGAGTGGTGGTCACATATTCTGGTGGGTTTGAGGAGGAGAATGCAGGAGGGAGAACAGATAACTGCCACCTCACCTCACAGATCTCTGTGATGCCTTCTAGTCTTCTACCTCCTTCTCTTGGAGACTCCTATCCGTTCCTCTCACCTAGTTTCACCAACCACGGCCACCATAAGTCTCCACGACTTCTCCCAACATCCCTTTCAAGGCCCATCAACATGAACTATTACAAAGTGATTAGGGTGTATACCAAGTGATTAGGGAGTACTGCCCAGATGATTCAGATGGGGGTTGGTTTAGTTTAGCTGAATATGACTCAAAACTGAACAAAAAAGCCCCATGCTGGCTTGATCCCTAATCTCAAATACTGACATGTACGTTTTGGCTTGTTTTGGTTTTTTATATCTAAATCAAAATGTAAAATACTTAGAGCATCAGTTTGATTTCTAGTTAATTACTTGGCTTTTAAAAGGTAAATGTCTTCTATTTAGAACTATCTACTTCTTTTTTTGTTTTGTATTTTGGCTAGTGTTCAAAAAGGCTGATCTGATTTCAGTAGGTTGTTTATCACCGGACGTACAATGTACAGGCTTGCCTTGAATTCAGCCAGCCAGAAGCTGCTCGAGTTTGGTGGTGCTTTCTGCTTCCATGTAATTTTAATCCAAGGAATTTTCTAGTGTACTGCTTGGCTTCTGTCACTCCCTACACTCCAGTGCCGATGGTGTTCAGGTACCTGTGACCAGGAGTAGATCCCTCTGCACTTCCCTCCACATCTGGGACACCACTTGCTTTACGCATCCCAGCTTTTTTCCTCTCAAAGCTTCCAGCCATGTATTCCCAGAAACCGACCTCTGACTCCGTATTTTGTGCTGTCAGGGAGAGAGCTTGCGTGGTGTCTCATACCTTACACAGTTTACAAGTATTTCCTTGAAGCCAGTGGGATCCTGTAGGGAGGTCTGCAGTACCAAACGTCGTTGTACTGGAAATGCTGATACTGGATCCTACTGAATGTCATCATTCAATCTAGAATCCTAATTCAGTAAATGGAAAGTAGCAACAGTAAGGGGTTTTGAACTAAATGCAGGTCCAGAACCGAGAAGTACCTGCTCCTGACTGTGGTAGGTAGATCTGTAATGTTAGGACAAGTTATTTGATACTGTCTCAAGTGTCTTTGATAATGAATTTCCTTCTTCACCTGTGGTTGAGGTAACATACATAAAGAACATTCACAGAGCACTTCAGGAGTGGAAGCCAGTGTTGATGTCTTGGTGTTTGCCATGCACTTTTCTGTTCGTTTTTTTATTTTAATCTTACCATAAGGTTTGTCTTTACATGCTGTATCATGCAGAACACCCCTCCCCATATCGTCATTATTTATTGTCCTAATTAACAGGAGTTGCATAGTGCAATGGAAGTATGCTAAATGTGGACTTTAACTGTATGTTCTCATGTGCAGGATCAGATTTTGGGGAAACAAATTTCTAGCACCCAAGAAGGCCTCTGGAGCCTAAACAACCAGAACTATCTCCTGCCAGATCTCCTCCAGCAAAGTCAAATTTCAGACTCCTCTGTGAACCCACCAAAAGTGCCACTGACTAGCCAGGAACCTCAGAACAAACCTCTGAATAAGGTAAGAGATAAATTACAGATTGAATGACTTGTACCATCATTTTCCTCCAGCTCTTAGGAGCCTGAGATTGAGAGTCCTTTAACTTCATCTATCCTGTCTCTTTTTATGATGAGATTTTTCACCCCATCCCTCCTTTTCTTTTAAAAGTTTTGTCTAGGGGACATATAATCTTAAACTCCCTAACAGATTTTATTGTCCCACTTGTTTGTCCCCATCTGTTCCCTTTTCTTTCCTTCCTTTTTTTGTCCCCTTCTACACAAGCTAGAAGGGCTTGTACCCTCTGCTCCTTTACCTGTCATGTCATCAATGCAGTGCACTCTGCTGCCCCTGCTCATTGTCCCTGGCTTTCTTCCATCCAAGTGTCAGGTGGGAGTGCACAGGGCTGGGGCAGCGTGTCTCAGCCGCCCCAAGGGGCCTCTAACTGCTGTGAGCACAGGGCTCTCCTGGGGAGGAGTGTGTCACTGGAGGCAGGTAACAGCTCTGTCAGCTGTCATGTCCTACACAGCCTTACTTGAGGCAACAACGTCCTCCTTGCTGCAGAGGTTTGAGCAGTGCCTTGTTGCAGATGTGACAGCAGGGAGTGATCAACGTGCCTTTCTTCTGGGGACTAGTTATGGCAGTGTGGTGCCTGGCTGAGGAACCCCACACAACTGCCTGCTCAGGCCGCCTCTTCTGTCACTGAATTTGTACCATGTATATAGTGCTTTAAGACTCATCATGTCCAAGTATGCCACGTGCCATTTCTGCTGAACCTCAGAGGCACAGCACTGCTGTGTGCTCTCCTGGCATCATCTTCCTGAAGCAGCTCTTGTTTTTCATTGTAGACCCCGTGCACTGAAAGCACACCTTCAAAGAGCAGTACATCATCTACCACATCATTTACTTCATTCATAGATCCTAGACTTCTGCCAATCACCCCTCCCACCAGTCCAGTAGGACCTTCCTGTAGTTCTTGTGAGTATGCTTTACCCTTCTCATAAAATGTCACTCCTGGTTTCTCCTGGGGGGAGTGAGGAGGGCCTGTTGCTTGGAAATGGAAACTGATGGTAACATCTTCAGAAACTGAAACTCCACAGCGTTATGAGTTTTCATTATACTCCTTCTGCCCTTCTTCCAGATGTGATTTGCTCTACTCTGCTGCTGGGTTACCACTGTGCTCACTCGGGAATGCCTGAGAAATTTTCCAGTTTTTGTGGGTTTTTTTTTTTAATTCTATGGCTATGTAATGTTCCTGAGACGTTTTCTCACCCCTATGGGGATTCTTTCATTCTGCCATGAACAGGTCAAATGTGAGATATAGCCAAACACTGGCATTTTTCATGATTGCATATGTCTTTCATTGTAGCATCTAGTGCAAAACCTGAGCCTGTCAGGAGAGAAAATGCAAGGAAGGGCTCCGTTGTCAATGTCAACCCAACAAATATCCGCCCGCAGAGTGACAGTCCAGAAATCCGTAAATATAAGAAGAAATTCAACTCAGAGGTCCTTTGTGCTGCTTTGTGGGGTAAGCTCAGAAGTGCTTGGACATGTGTATGGAGGGAAGGCAGCAGCAGGAGAGGCTGGCAGTGTATGCCAGGCAGGTTTCACAGTTGTATTGCACCTCTTTTGTCAAAATCTTGGAGCAAGTCACCAAGTAGATACCTGTGTCAGTCACATGGCACCGCCTTCCTCATAGAAGATACAGATCACTTGCAGTTGCAGCTTTGTGCATCAAAATGAGAAAATGTTTTGATTGGGCACCAAACTGAAACTGCTTGTTTGAAGAGCCAGAAGCTGCAAATGTTTAATAACTTAGGCAACTCATGATACTCTTGTCCTAGCTGCATACAAGTACAGCTGATCGCTCTAAGTCCTGACCCAGTGGAAACAATACAAACCTGAAGCCTTTTGCTGTCATGTGTGTTACATATTCCAAGAATCTGAAGCAGGTCAGGTGTTGATCTTTCCAAAAGCTTGGCTTCCTTAGTTCCTGCTGTTCCTCAGAACCTCACTGGATCACCCTTTTTACAGGATCAGCTTCACATGGTGTAAAACCAAGATGAATGTAGTCAGACTAGTTTTCAGCAGCTATAAACCTTGTCCCAGTCTCACAGTAGCTAAGCTCTTGAGTTGTTTTAACCATCTTTCTACTTCTGAAGAATGGATGTATTCTATGGGACTCTCTCAGCCTTTTACTACTCCTCACTTTTTGAGTCCAGAATGGAAAATTAATATAGTTGAAACATTATCCAAAGGAAATGGAGATTTCCAGTTTACAGCTTCACAGATTTTGTGTAATGTATGTTTGTTAGGACTCCAAGATTTAAAATTAAGAACAGAGCTGTGTGGCAAGGTCTGTAATTAAATGTGTGTTGAGGCTGAAGAGCACCAGGTACTCATCAGAGCATTGCCAGTAGAGGAGGTTGCTTGTTACAGCAGGATACCTCATGTCACTTCTTAGAACCTGCTGATTAGGAAACATAGCTGTCATGCCAGCTGAACACAATTTTTGACATCCTCTGATGTCAGCAACTCACTGGAGCCTTTGCTTCCTTGGAGCACTTGGATTTCAGATGGATTCACTCCTTTAATTTGGCATGTGAAAGCATTCTTGCAGAACACGGACCATTTTCAAACACTCTGTGTCTTCGTAACAGCAGCCCTTCTTCCCACAGGTTTGGTCCTCCTGTCATTTGAGTGTTGTATCTGGGGAAAGGGGATTTTTTAATTCTTTTTTTAATTGGTAGAGACCCTTAGGACATTTAGTTGGATCTCCTGTGTGGAGTGGTGCTGGACTGGGACTTTTGTAGTGCTCACAGGCATTTTCCAAGGTCACCTGAGAAATCGAGTTCACAGAATAGTCTAGGTTGGAAAAGACCTTAAGATCATCCAGTCCAACCATTAACCTCACACTGACAGTTCCCAACTACACCAGATCCCTCAGTGCTGTGTCAGTCCGACTCTTCAACCCCTCCAGGGATGGGGACCCACCACCTCCCTGGGCAGCCCATTCCAACTCCTAACAACCCCTTCTGTAAAGAAATGCTTTCTGATATCCAGTCTAAACCTTCCCTGGTGCAACTTGAGGCCATTCCCTCTTGTCCTGTCAATTGTAAGAGACTCATCCCCAGCGCTCTGCACCCTCTTTTCAGGGAGCTGTAGAGGGTGATGAGGTCTCCCCTCAGCCTCCTCTTCTCCAGACTAAACTCCCCCAGTTCCCTCAGCTGCTCCCCATCAGATCTGTGCTCCAGACCCTGCACCAGCTCCGTTGCCCTTCTCTGGACACGCTCAAGTCATTCAATGGCCTTTTTGTAGCGAGGGGCCCAAAACTGAACCCAGGAATCAAGGTGCGGCCTCACCAGTGCTGAGTACAGGGGTAAGATCCCTTCCCTGTCCCTGCTGGCCACACTATTTCAGAAAGCATTTCCCTTTTTGTTTAAGTCAACATTGACCTCAGTGGAACTACTCATCCTTCAAGTTACATGGGTGTATAAGTGTTCTGCTGGGTAGAAATTGTAATGGTGAGATCCCTTTCTTCTATTCATTTTTCTGGGAAATCATCCACAGAACAACAGAGAAATTATCAGGTATCATTAAGTTAGACTAAATAAGAATCAGTTCCCAAAACAATGAACTCTTACTGGCCTCTGAATCATTAGGTGATTTATGCAGGGTTTTTTTTCATGCATCAACAGGAGTAAATTTACTGGTGGGAACAGAGAATGGATTGTGGCTGCTGGACCGAAGTGGGCAAGGAAGAGTTTATTCACTGATTACAAGGAGACGATTCCAGCAAATGGATGTTCTGGAAGGACTCAATGTGCTAATTACTATATCAGGTTAGTTCAGTCTCTAAAAGTATCTGACCTGCATTGGGGTTGGAAGCAATTAAAAAGAATTAGGCTATAAACTAGGTTGAGGAATTTCCTCTTACAGAAAAACATAGGATGGTTATTCTTGTTAATAGGTAAATTCTCTTGAATTTTTAACATTTACATTCTCATTTCAGAGAGGCTTTGGGATATTTCATTACCTGGTTAATGTGTAAAATGGTTCGTGGAAAGTATGAAGTACTTCATATCCTTAAAATGAATACGTTCTCAGTAACTTGTAGTTTGTCAGTCTGCTTGTTTCTGTGATGGGCAAGCCTCTATCTAAGTCCAATTTTATTAAAATGTCATTGGCCCAGCAAGGAGCAGTGCAGACTTGCTGTGGTAAGTGATGGTGAGAGCTGTTTGTCCCATATTGCCAAGTCCAGTTGCTTATGTGACACAGTCCTTCTCCTTAGACTGACCTGTGATCCCAGACTACTGTTGACCATATGTGCTTATGAACTAAAGCAACAGAAAGATTGACTGAGATGAAAGATGACAAAGTAATTCTCACCTGGAAAGGCATCCAAAAGAAAATAGCTACTTTTAATGAAGATTGTCAGTTAATTAGAACTAGATGAGTTACCTATTCAGAATGGCCATTGTAGACCATACCTGTGTTCCTTCACATCAAAGAGCAAATGCCAGATAGTGTGATTATTTCTGATAATACATGTGTCAGTAGAGACCTGTTCTTTGGCCTGAGGGAGGAATTTTAGTCAGGTGTGAAAATCTTGCATGAAGCTTGAGTCACAAGGTAAGTGCACGTGTGTCAAATGCTGTAGGATTGCACATGTTCCAGTTCCCTCCTGCATGTCCCTGTCATACAGGGATTTTCTTTTGTGCTGCTGCACTCTTCTTGCACCTTGAAGAGGCAGAGACCCGCTATATTCAAGGTCACAAAACTGTCTTTTTCTAAATGTGGGAGAGTTTGTACTTCAGTGAGTTAAAGCATTATGTCTGTCTTCTTTTTTCAAATACTAGGGAAGAAGAATAAGTTGAGGGTGTATTACTTATCATGGCTGAGAAATAAAATTTTGCGCAATGATCCAGAGGTGGAGAAGCGTCAAGGTTGGGTGTCTGTGGGTGACCTGGAAGGCTGTGTACACTACAAAGTCGGTAAGGACTTTTTGTTTTTTTCCTTTAAGAGCTGCTTAGTCATCCTTTTGCATCTCGTGACACCAGCATTTTTTCAGCTCTGTTTCAAGATTGTATTGGGCTGAATATGTTTGAGTTCTTTCAAACCTCTTTGTTTTACATGGCAGACGCTTTGCTCCCTGTCATTGCAGATAGCATCTCTTTTTGCAGCAGTTATGGATGGTGTTCTGGGTATTCCCTGTGACAGCTGGAAGGATGGAGTGCCGACCCTGGTCTTTTGCTCAGTCAGTGGTGTAGAAGTTCTGTAGTTACTTAAGGTTTTAATTAGACTGATGTTTTCCACCTCCATGCTATTCAGCTTCCCTCCTGGCTCTGAGTAACTGCTAAGAAACTGGTCTAGTAAAGCGCTAGTAAATCAGGTTTGTAAGACATCCATAGGTAGATCAGATTGGATGTGCTGCAGCTCATCCCTGTCTCTGTATCATAAAAGACCTAAATGTATCTTTGTTTAAACTTACACACTGGAAGTGGTACCATAGCAGTAGAAAAACCATCTTTCTTTTATTTGGCTTTCAGGCAGTTCCTCCTTGAAGATGAACATCAGTATTGTGATAGTTTCTGTCATTTAACTTTGTGAGGGGGTGTGATGTATAGTGCACGTTTTGCTTTGGTGAAAGATGGAATATCAAAGTGGCACTTTTTTCAAAGGCAAATAGAGAAATGATGTAGAGGAGTGCAGAAGACAGAAAGGTGGCTGGCTCTCATAAATATCTTGTTTGATGGTTGTTTTGCTTTTATTTCACTGCTTTAAAACTGTCAAGGGTTAAATCCAAGAAAGAATGTGAAACAGATGTGTATTGTTATTTTATTTGTGATTACAGATAAGTACCCACATATTCCACTTCAGTTGCTCCTTTTTGGGTTCTGTGTGTTGGGGTGGGTTTTTTTTTAAAAATAGGCAAACATTTCATAGGAGCTTCTGTGTTTACTTAGAAGCCGCTCTGACAAAACAGCTGCTGTTGTTTTTCTCTTGGTGAATCTTCTTGTATCTTGACCTTTGGTTTTACAGCCACTTGTCCAGGTGGAAGAAGAAAAGGATGTACTGTTCTGCATTTTGGTGGAGTTTAATTTTTTTTCTTTCTCTGCCTATGTGAGATTTTCTAGTGTCACCTTTTTGCACTCTTCAAGCCTCTGCTGTATGTTTGGCCAGTGTGAACTGCTGCTTTTGTAAGCAGCAAGGGCTGATCAAGCCCTCCTCCCAGAGAAAACAAACCTTACTTCAGTAGCATAACACCTGCATCTTTTAAAAATCCCTGCCAAGCAGACACTGAATATGAAATGAAGGGTGAACGTGTTGGGATGCAGTACCCTAGCATTCCATTTCCAAAGCAAATGCTTGTCTCTGGCAGAGTGAAAACACAATGTACAGAGAAGCCTTAATTTTCAATGCATGATTCTTCATTTATTCTTGATGAGTCCAACATGACCTTAATCGACTTAGAGAAGTTGCTCATCTCTTAAATGCTTACTTATCTCAGAAACATGGAAGTCCTTCACCCACACTAGCACATGGAGATTTAACCCCACACGTGAACGGTGAAATGAAAATTCATCCTACAGAGTGTAACAGAATTGTTCAGCCAACAACCACCATTCCGCCAAAAGTAGATTTTCACAGCCAGCAATGTTGGTGTGTGTTCACACTTAAAAAATAAATTAGGCTGGTTTAGATACAGGGTCAAGACCTTTTTTTGTGACACAAGTAAGATTTTTTTAAATTTATTTTTTTCATCGATGTATGAAAAGCAATATATAGATATTGTTAACAGCCATCTGGCTTTACTGAGAATAAATGAACTATAGGTTTTCAGTCAAGGTATTGTCACTGGTGATATTAAACATTGATGTCCAGAACCCATTAGTTTCCCTTGCTGCATGTCTACCTCTAAAATCATCCATTGAAATTATTGCATGTGATGAGATGGTCTTTGATTTAAGTGTCTGTCTGGTACCTAAGGAGTTGTTCTTCTTGTATTGCAGTAAAATATGAGAGAATCAAATTCCTTGTAATTGCTTTGAAAAACTCAGTGGAGGTTTATGCTTGGGCTCCAAAGCCTTATCACAAATTCATGGCTTTTAAGGTAAGTGAAACTTCACTTTGGTTCAGATGTATCAGTGTCTCTCATCTACTCTTTGCTTTTGTTTCTGTTGCTTTGTATAACATCTATTTCTAGTTAAATATAAAATGAGTATTCTTTTTAAAGAAAACATAGGCCTTTTGACATATATTGGAGATGGCTGGCATAAAAGTGGCACAATCATGATTCTGTTAGATGTGAATAGCATGTTTCAGTGCTGTGCCAAAATGTACTCTTGAGTTCACAAAGCTGATGCTAATTTCCCTCAAAAGAGGAGGAAATTGAACATGAATGGTACTCAGCCCAATTTTTGCCTAGTCATTTTCGAGAATGTGGATTTTTTTGAAAACACAAGCGAATTATCCAGCACTCCTTGCAACTCAGTGGGTGATGGATACTTAGCTCCTTAAATGTAACATACTATTTAACAAAAACAACTAACTTTTGAGTTTTGAAAATTCTTAACATATATGCAGATCTGTAAACCAACAGCTTTTTTGTGTTATATAGTGTATCTTTCTTTTTCCAGTCCTTTACCTCACTTCATCACAAACCACTGTCGGTTGACCTGACTGTTGAAAATGGACAAAGATTAAAAGTCATATATGGTTCGCTAGTAGGTTTTCACGCTATTGATGTGGACTCTGGATCTGTGTATGACCTGTACCTTCCAACACACGTAAGATACTCCAAAAAATTATGTAAATACCTCTGTTGTTTGGGCTGTATATTGATGATGATCAGGTTAAGAGTTGTGCTGTATTTCAAAAGACAGGGTAAGAGAATAATATTGTATGCCAGCTAATAAAAACCCACTTTTCACATACTTTTATAAAACTGAAGTTCTGTTAAAAGGCTTTTATCATATTTAGAATGTCAGTTTTAATGGTTTAATGTCAGAAAGCCTGTTGTATGGACAGTACTATTTCTAATTGATTTATCCTGGAAATTTAGGACTTCTTAAGCAATCAAAGACACAATAATATCTACATGAATTTAGGTGACTTTTACAATCTGCCACTGTGCTTTTCAATCTTGCTGACAAGCTGATTTAAATTATCACTGAATTGAGCTGAGATTTGGCCTGGATTACAAAGACCATTGCAACATACTAATCTTGATCCACTGGAAGCATGCTACCTTTGCACCAATGAGTACCTGTAGCTAGAGGAGCCAGGTATACATGTGAACCCATGCATAAGCCACATTTCTTCAACGTGAAGCAGAGTTGCATTTGTTTCACGTGACTACAGATCCAGGCTCTGTGTGCAAAACCTGTTTTGCCTTTCAGTCATGACTTTGCAGAAACCCAGCTTCCAGTCTAAACAAATTTGCTGATCTTCTTACCGTTCAGTTGCCTGTGAAATCAGTCCTTAAATTCAAAAGAATATTTACATTTTCCTCAGGATTTTCTCATTAGATTGTCAAGAAGTTGCCATGAGGTTGTTGATTGCAGGTTCATGTGTACATACTGCATTGTGCATCTGTTCACTGGGGTGATGGTGATCACTAAATTCCGGCTTAAACTTGGATAACAGCAAAGTAATTCCCCTGCAGAAGTGAATGACTGGCATGGGGCTGTCCCATATGAAGTCTTTGCTATGGTTTTAATCTTTTTGTTTGTTTGCTTGCTTATTTTTTAGCTGTTCTAGATAGTTATTTTTCAAAGCTGCAAGTCCCAAAAGCCAGAGAAACTTGGGGGCTTAGGTCCAGAAAACTATCAGGTTGCCATGGTTCCAGTCTGATGGGAGGCTCCTGGCAGGGAAACTTCTGTGCACGCTTGAAAACCTCCCTGAAGTCAACAGAGCTCCACAGGGGCAGAGGGTTAGCTCACTGGGTGCCGTGGCTGCCTTGTATCCCAAGGCAGTGTCCCAGAGTTACGCTTAGGAGGTCTGAAGAAATCTCATCCTAGATCTGCATGTTGCAGCCTTTGCCTTGAACCCTTTTATTTTTTTTATTTTTTTAAACTTCTTTTTCTCCACTCTCAGCCCCATGTTTTCAAACCAAATGAAAACCCGTGCCTCCCGTGCAAGCCACTTGATCACTCTGCTGCCCTGACAAGTGGCTCATGGAAATTGTGCCTTCAAATTCTGTCAAACCTGTGTTTCTGATAGACACAATGTTTGAAGATGGCTGTTAAGTTTCTAAATTTCTCTGAGTTAAAAAGTAACTTTTCTAGCTGTTCAGAACAAAGGAATCACCTGCTAAAAGCTTGTACTGTTTATTTCTGTATTGGGGTTTTTTAAGGGACTTAATATTTGTTTTGTTAGAGGGTTTATTTAATCTTCCAATTAGTAGCTTAGTTAACTATGCAACTATGAAAAATTCCCATCAGTTTATAAATCTAAGTGGGATGCCTGCATGCCATCCCTGGAATCTGGTTGCTAAGCAAGGTGAATAATGACTTGTCAAAAAGATCATTAGCATAATTGCCCAAGATAAGACAGGCAAAGAAAAAAGTGAACCTTCTTAGAGGCTTTATTTTTTCAACAGGCTGCAAATATAATTATGTACCTGATGAAAGAGATTTCCCAGGTGACTGTCCTGAATATTTGGGGCACCTTTAAAACTGACTCCATTTGTGTGTGCTCTTTAACCAAAAGTTAGCATGTACTAAAAATATTTTTTCCCTTAGAGTCTTAGACCTGAAATATATCTGCTGCTACGGTGGCTCTATCTTTTTTGGTATTTTATTATTTTAAAGAGCATCTGCTAGAAGTGGATAATTCTCTCAAGGAGCTTTGTGGTGGCAACAGACCAGACTTTTAACAGGCTGACTTTAGATACTCTTGCTTTCTGGTAGCCTCTTTTCCTGGTTCCCCACCTCTTTCTTCATCTCTTACCTGCTTCGATCACTCATGCGAGTACCAAGGCAACGCATTAAAATTGCTCTGCGGCTCTGGATACCCGTTCTAGTGTTACGGATAGTTGTTGCGGAGGCACGGAGTCAAGTGGTTGGCCTGAGTGTATTCAGTTTGGCAAGTACAGCTTCAGTGCTTCTTTTACTGTTCATTGTGCCCTTGCGGTGTGCATAAGTGTATGTGCTTGAAGAAAAAAAACCAAAAACCTGTGTGTTGCTGGCTTGTGAAAAGGATGTAGAAACTCCAGTCATCCTTCCTATAAAATATTAATTGTAGTGGTTTAATTTACTGTTTAATGTCCTGAGTACTGCTTTGAACAAGGAAATGCTTTGTTGTTTTTTAAGGCTGTCCTCTTTTCTTTCAAAAACGCTTCCATAAAACCGCACCTTCATGGTTGTATACTTAGACTTTTTCACTTGGGACACGTTGGCTTCTGGGAGAGATTCTAGTGCATTGAACAGCTGTTAAAATAATTTGTGTGAGTGAAATGCACTGTTCCTGTGGCATGCAAAAAAAAAATGTATGCTGAACAGCGTTTAAATGGGGAACTATTTTTAATGAAAGCTGCGGGAAGGGAAGGACACAGAGTAGCTTATATTTGAAAGGTCCAGGTTAACTTTTCAACTTGCTGTAAATATTGTTGAATTTATAGGTTTTAGCTTGTGAGTGGGGATAGGAAATATCATGGAAAGTGAAAGCACTGAGGTCCTGGAATGTGGAAGCTTTTGTCCTTCATCTCCTGAAATAATTGTGAATTCAAATTTATTTCACGTTTCTTCTATTTATATAATGCAAGTGTTTTGTGAGCGAGTAAGTAAATATTATTGTGTCTCAGTGGCTCCATGGCTTCTTGAAACCAATGAATACTGGTAAATATAAAGTGAAGTATTGAACGTTGATTTTTTTGCAAACCTGCTGCCATATTCAAAGCCGGGTGGAGGGGGGGGGGAGGAGGGGAGAAAGCCTGTTTCAGAGGCTAGCTAGCAAACTAGCAAACTGCCTTTCTGAAAACAGGCATTTCTTTCACTTTCCATGAGCCATAAGCTAGTTCCTTTTATTGCTCTGCCAAGCTAGTTAGATTGATGTAGTCACTAAAATTGCAGTCCGTTTTCTGATCTAAATCTTAGTAAAATATGATTCTAGATCCAGGGGACTATTCGCCCACATGCCATTATAATCCTCCCGAACACCAGCGGAATGGAGCTTTTACTCACCTATGAAGATGAAGGCATCTACATTGATATATATGGGCATTTCACAAAGGAGACTGTTTTACAGTGGGGAGAAATGCCAGCATCTGTAGGTACGTATGAAAAACAGCACTTTATTAAATACAGGATTTTGCTGCATGAAGCCTGACTTCTTTATGAGGTTTGTATCCCTATGAAAGTGGTTGTGTGGCACATAAAGCAACTTTTGAACAAACCAGATGTGTAAAGAGTAAACAGATATATGTATGTTTGTGTTGAGACAGCCAGTGATTGCAGTAGGGTCTTCACATTTGGATCACAGAGTTTGGGTTCTTGTCACACTGTTTATTGCATCGTACCTTGACTGAGATTGCAGCGTACCACCAGTTTTCACAGGGAGAATTCCGTGAATTACAGAGGGGAAGAAAGGTGCTCTTGTTTCCTACTTCGATTGTTCACAGCCCATAGCGCTTTATGTAAAAATTCACAAAGATAGAGAGGTCAGTTACCAAAGAGGTCTGTAACTGCTGTCAAATGGCCCCTTAATTTTATCACTTTAAATTCACAGTGCTGCCAGCACACAGTATTTCTAATAGATTCTCAATCTCTCCGTGCTTGCAGTTGGCTTTGCAGGAGGAGATTCTGATTGCATTGTAGCCAGGACAGCTGTTTGTTTCACCTTCCCTAGAGGGCTTCAAGTTAACAGTGTGGGGAAAACCAAGAACAACACAGGCAGATTTCTGGTTTTATTATTTGTTGCTTTTAATTTCTTTTCTGTCTTACTCCTGCATCTTAAAACAAACATACCAACAAACAAAAAAAGCCCAAGACACTTAGATTGTACAAAAGCATATTATTAACTTGGCAGAAACTGGATGCCACAGTGAAAAATTGAGGATGTTTACCTTTCTCCTTTCACTTCTAGCTGCGTAGTGTTAGGGAAAGTCCATTAAAATTAGCGGAATAACTCTTGAGTAAATTCCAGATTTGACATTGTAGAGGGTTTTCAACAGTACTGACAGCAAGAAGCCCACCTCTGGAGCACAATTGCTACAAGACAATTATTTTTGGAACTGTTTCAATAAAATTCAGCAACAAAACTGCTTCAGTTTCAAAACCAGGTATAAGGTAATAAGCTTATATATAATAAACTATATAATGTTTCCTTCCCTTCACTGAATAGCCCCATCTCCAATTTTCAGCCCTTATTCAGAGCTACAGGGCATAATTAAAATGTATGAATTTTCCATTTTTCATAGGAATACCTAATGGTCTTTGATGTTGAAGTTTTACATCCCCTCTGAATTAATGTTAGAAACACCATAAGAAATAATCAATAATCAAAAAGCAATTACTCAGCCAGGGTAAGAAGAGTTCTAATGAGAAATACTGAACATAATTGGAACCTGCACTGACAAATGCTATCTGCATGTCATTACGAGACATGCTTCCTTAGGCCTTACTAAAAGTAGCAAGCTTGCTTAACATTAATATTTTCTTCAAACTGAAGAGTCTTATCCACCTTTATATGTGTCCTGCCAGAGATTAACCCTGATCTCATGTTTAATACTTTTTAAACCATGAATGTTACTTGCAACTATTACAGGCTTTTCTAGTTGTATCATTCTTACTCTATGCTATGTCCTAAAGAGTCACTGCTATGAGAGAGTTAATGTGTTTCAAAGACAGATGATACATAAGGAACAAAGGGCTTTCTTACATCCTGCTTCAGAAAGGGGCATACTGCAAGAAGTTGCGCAGATCTATGACTCCTGCTTGAAAATTTGCAGTTTGTGTCACTGGGCACTGATTGCTCTCAAAGCTTTTTCGCTTAATCTAGATCAAGTTTGCAGAAATGCCTCAGAAGTGGACCAGAGACCTTAAGTCTTTCTTCCTAATGTTGCTGAAAGTACTGAATCATCAAACCCACAGATATGGGAGAGAGGTTTGTAAAGCATTCTTGTAGCCCAGAAATCACACTGCCTTAAGCTCAGTAAAAATTTCCATGTGCGTACCCAGCTGGCGTTAAAGTGAATAAAGCTTCACCACTTTGGACCAGATGAATGTGATCTTTTTTGCCAGTTAATTACTCTGATTTAAAACATCCTTCACTATACATTTGGCTAGGCATGATATTCTCAATTTCTCAAGGTTGGTTACATCTTAATAGAAGGAATGCCATTTGGACCTTCGCCTTCCCACGTGCTTATGCAGCTATTTCTCCTGTTCTTCAGCACACTGCTAACGATAATCATTTGCATGGAAAGCTATCAGTATGAAATTGCCTAAGCATTTTTGTTACAGTATTTTAGGGCAGTTAAATAGGAAGAGGATGGAGAAGATGCTTCTGAGGGTAGCATCCTGTCTGCTGAATTTATACTATATAGCAGTTAGGAGTCTTATCTATGTGAACAGTTTAGATTTTCTCCATAGCAAATCTAGAGAAATGGGCACCACCAGATGGGAAGGTGGTGCCCCATCCAGGGACAGGGAGATAGGACAGGTATATCAAACATCCTGCTGAGGAAGCAGAGGGTGAATTAGGTGAAACGTTTTGGATGGTAAGCTTAGGAGAGCTGTGTAAACAGCTAGCTCTTTTTAGAACTTCTCCCAGTGCTCAGGAAGGCAAGATTGTAGGCTTTCTCTGGAAGGAAAGCTGTCGGTCTCCATCCACCTCTTTCATTGTTTATACTTCTGCAGATTCCACAGCTGAAGGAAGGCAGTCTCCAAACAGCCCCTCTCAGTTGTCATTTGAAGATTTTCCCATACATTATCTTGAGAACTGTTGTGTTTCTGCTGCTGCAACAGCACTTCTGGTATCTCAGAAACTGATTTCCTTAGAACAGAAATTGTCAAGCTTTGTGATGTGGTACAAAATTAATTTGACTTCTGACTGAAACAATATTTCCACTAAAAACAAATTAACCCAACCTATAACTCAACACACAACTCAAACTTTAAACAAAGAGTTCTGTTAACTATTATTTTAATGACTGTTTCCCACTAGCTCCTATTAATTTTCTTGTTCCTTTGAAAATCTTGGCTCCAGACAAAAACATTATTACAAGGGAAGTATGAATAACTGTGGTATTTGCATGGCCAAACTTAGGGGGAGCTTGAAAGTTTTGTAAGAGATCCCATTTTCATTAAATTTGCAGACCCATTTCAGAACTCCTAAAGTCTATATGAGCTTATCTCAAAATTTTCACTCTGTGTTTCAGAGAGAGAAGGATCTTGTGTTAACCTCAGGGTTCTCTCTAGTCATCCTTTACTCGCTTCCTGATTTCTTTAAACAAGTATTTTGAAAGAAAACATTTTTAGTTGGTGAGGATATCTGGACTATGAAAAATAAAGAATCGTTTTTATTATAATTGATGGATTTAGGGCAAGGAATCTAAATATAGCTTACTGTCATAGTCTTTAAGTTGGGACCTCTGTGACCAATCTGTTAATAAGAAACTGGGGAGAGGAAACCCAAATCCCATGGGAAATTAAAATCGTAGAAGTACTATGTTATGTTTAACCTGAAAGATATTTCACATATGTAGGGCTAAATACAAATATAGCTGTAATATTTTCTTTCTATAGAACAGGATTAAAAAAGGGTTTAAGAAACATCAAGTTAATAAGATCTGGAAGCACTTTTGCCCTTTTATGTGAGTAATGAATTATTTACAGTATGTAGTCTTACAAGGTTGGCACAAAACTGGACATTCCAAGAGTAGGAAACCAATAAAGGTCCTTATTTCCTTTGCTGTGTACATATTAGAAGCAAAAATGATGTTACGTAGAGAAACAGCTTTACCAAAAGCTGGCTGAATTACTGCCTCAGTGCTCTATCAGCATACTCACCAGTTCTTGAAACAGCTGCTGTCCAGCTCATGCACAGAAAATGCCTGCTCATATCTGCATGATTCTTGTTGGTCAGATCTCCTGCGCACTTTTTCCCCAAGAAGCAGCAAAAAAAGCATTCGAACAAGCAAACTGTCACCCCAGATACATTTCTGGGTTGGGTTATCAGTTCTACTGGACTAATTACAAAGCAGTGAGCAACAAAGATCAGAGAAGCTTTGGAACAGAGATGCAACCCCAAGATTTAGTCATAAATTTATTTTTAAGTTGCTTTGGGGTGGTTAGGGAAGTGCATGTGTTAGCCCTTTGTCCAGTACAATCTAACCAGAACATACAGCAGAAAAACACCTGCCTTCCATGGCCAATTCCTTACTTTGTCCATGCCTTAGGTTTTTTTCCTTCTTGATTTTGGCTCTCTAGCCTCTCTCATTTAGTGAAAGTTCTCCACAGCTGTGACTGGAGGAAGAAAAATACCCACTTCTATCCAGGTAACATAAATAATAGCAGTAAAACTGTTTAACAAAATTGAACAAGAGAAGTTACTGACTCCTCCCTCATTTTTCCTACCCAAAATTGCTTAGCTGTGGGGACAGTAAGTTGCATGGGCAACAGACAGAAGTACAAGCAAGTAGCTAATCAGTCCCTAATCAGTGATCAGCAGCATCATTGGAGAGCTTGAGGCTGGGTTTCAGAGGGAACAGGCTTTGCTATATCACAGGACACCGTTGGTGTCTCTGTGGGTTATTGCCATTCCCAATCCTCAACATGTATGTCTCCCTTTCATTTGTCTGCAAATAAATAAATAAACATACTTTCCTTAAAGAGTGAGGAACCAATAAAAGTCGCAATTTCATGAAGCATACTGGGTTTGACTGAAGGGCCAAAGAAGGCTTCTCTAAAAGTGTACTCAGCTTTAAGATCTGTACGGTCTCTAACAGCTGGTATCTTTTACTGTCAGCAATGTCATCACTGGACAGTCTCCTTTCAATGTCTGACCCAGCTGCATGCTTGCCCGAAGCAATTTTCTCAAACATGTATACAAAAGCAAAATTCAGTAGCTTTTTTTGCATTTAATTTCACCTACATACATACATACTGTCTCTGAAAAGGGATTCAGTAAAGCAGTGTACACTTTTTTACCCTGTGAAACGGAGTTTGATTTCATGGCTCAGGCATGCAAAAAGTGGGTCAGACTTTTAAAATTCGTGTTCAGTTTGTTCATTTCAAACTTCTTGGTTCATCTGGAATCAGTTGCCTGGGGAATTTTTGGAGTCTCCATCACTAGAGGTCTTCAAGGTCAGGTTAGACAAACAACTGTCAGAAGTGATACTGATGTGGTACAGAGATATGGATGGAAGAAAAGGTGCATTAAGGCCCTTTCCTGCCCTATTTCTGTAACACTAATCAGAAATGCCCAATTTTATGATATTTTGCTAAAAGCTGTCCTGATTCTGCTCTCATGCAGAGATCAGTTGGGAATAACTGCTTATGGCAGTGAACCAAATTCAGTACATGAGATCAGAAAAGGGATTTCTGAAGGGAAAGAGTTTAAAAAAGAAAAGTTGTGAAGTGAGACTGTAGCAGTAGCTGGGTTGTGTGGTACCAAGTGCACTTGTCTCGTTCAGACTGAGTATGCTACTGGGGTGAGACTGAGATCATTAGCTCCTGTCACTGACACTTGGAAGAAAGTAATGGATCCAGTATGACTCAGTGATTTTTTTCACCTTTCCATCTCTCTCAACCATTTGCCCCTGAAGCAGTTGCTTCCCTGAATGGGGGCTCTACTCAACTTGATGTTAAGAAACTTATTTTGATCTCATTTTTCTATACTAACTTTATGCCACATATCCTTTGATGTCGAGGGAGTAATGCTGGTGTAAATGGTGTAATGAAAACCACAGCTCATGCACAACTGTAGGTCTTGTAAGACAGGCAGTAATCTCAGTGAGGCAGAGTGGCTTCAGGGAACCCTGAATAACTTTGTTCCAGCACGTTAAGCAATACTGGCACATCAGTCTGAGTCAGTATACACCTTTTCTGATGAGCTGCTGTCCAAAGGACCAGCGTGGCTGTCCAGGTCTGGGGTTGCTAGAAAGCAGTACAATCTTGCATTGTCTGTAATATAAACACCTTATATGTTGCCAGCAGGAAGCATAGGGTATTCTTATCTAAAGCTTGTTGCGGTGGAAAGTGGACTCAAAATAACTATATCCTAAGTTGCTCATGGTACAGGAGCTTTTGTTTCAGAATAAGACAACTTTATTCTGAGTATCTAATCTGTTCTCAATTAATTTCACATGAAACACGTGTAAGTGCTCCCACATGGGAAGATTATCAAGACTCAGTACTGACCTTTGAATTCACAGCCTGCTAATTAATTTCCATGTACAGATAAATCCTTATAATTGGACAAGCCCACAAATGGTATAATGGAGCCCTTTTTTTGGCACGTTATTCCACAGATGCAATTGAGAAATAACTTTTTGATTCTGCCACAAGAATGAGGTTTTGTGCTACTTGAACTGAAATTTGCCATTCTCAGTTGACAAGTTCTCAGTATATTGGCTGGCCAGCAGAGCATTAGTGGCTGAACTTGGGTCTATCTGTTTTATTATGTTCCTACTGTAATACTGCTTGGAGAGCAGGTCTCTTCTGAACGCAGCAGTAGTGGTCCAGAAATCCAGCTGGATGACCTAGAGGCTGCAACAGAGCCTAATTGAGCTGTCACTGAGAGCTGCAAGGATGCTATCTAATTGAAACCTGCCAAAGGCAGATAGAGGTGATAGAGACACAGCATACTGACAGCTCCAGCACAGATTTCATGTGGTGGAAAAGATAAGGAGACTTATGAGTGGATTAGGTCTTTGTTGCTGGACCTTTATCACAGAATGGTTTGGGTTGGAAGGGACCTTAAAGATCATCTAGTTCCACCCCCCTGCCATGGGCAGGGACACCTTCCACCAGCCCAGGTTGTTCCAAGCCCCGTCCAACCTGGCCTTGAACCCTGCCAGGGAGGGGGCAGCCACAGCTTCTCTGGGCAACCTGTGCCAGGGCCTCACCACCCTCCTGGATTGCTTATGCCCAATATATGACCTATAGTAAACAATATAGCCATAGAATGCTTTCATGTTGTCTATGTATACGCACCAGCCTCGCTGTCCCACCCCCCAGAACCATAGCGTGCCTTTGTCTCTGCTGTGTTCAAAAGCGAAATTTGAGAAGGTTAATGATGTGGTGTTGGCTGTTATGAAAAATAGCAAATGTTTGAGTATTGTACCATTCTTATCTTCTTCATTTTAAGTGTGGTCTGGGCCTACCTTTTTAGATAGTAACCATGTAGTGCATGGGTGCTGCCCTGTGCTCACCATGCTACTGCTGTGATGATTCAGAAACGTTAATGACAGTCTTCTCAGCCTGTAGCAGGGGTGCCTGGTTGTGCAAGCCTAGGAACCGAAGCATAAGGGAAAATTTTAAAATGTATTGATTTCAGGTGTTCAATTTTTAGAAAATACCCTTCCCCCCACTCCTCCCACTTATCCTCAGTTGCTCACTGCTGGTTTGCTTTTCAAACAGGATGGTTGCTTCCTCTTTCCACATGGCTGGGATACTGGGAAAGAATTTTCTTGCTCTCAGCTCTAGTGGTAGGGAAGCCTTCAGTGTGAACAAAGAATAACTGAAAGTATACTAAACAGATTTAGGGGAAATTTGTAGACTTTGAGGGAACTAAAATCCCATTGTAGCCAAACCACACACATTTCCAAGGAGGCATAATTTTCATACACTTGTTCTGACCAGAATTATAAAGCAAGGATTTCAAGTTAATATTAAATCAACAGCTGCTAGATGTACAGTCACTCAGGCATATTGCCTTTATTTTCTGCTGTCCTTCTAAAGTAGGATCGCAGACTGTTGCTTCCTGTATTAGTGTGTACTGGAAGCTTAATTTTTAGACAAAACCCTAAATCAACATGGAAGGTTTTAAGGAACAGACATTGTTTGCACTAATAATATAGGGCAGGCAAGCACTGTCCACTGAAGCTAAAAAACAGTCAAATGCACACATTCCCTCTACATCATTTCAGAGCACCGGAATTCTTGGACTAATGAAATAACAGTTCATAGTCAAGCAAGAAGAACATTTTCTGAGCACTGACTATCATTAGAGCATAAATAATGTGTTTTCACCTTGCAAGCCTATACATGCGCTAATCAGAGGGCTTTCATTGAAACTGTGCCTAATTTGCTATCTGTGGTGTTAACTCTTTCATCACTCTTCTGATTTCTCATCGAATCACCAGATTTAAAGAGAGTAACATAGTAAGCTTCCACAGTGCTGAAATCTTCTTTCAGTTTTGGAGATACTGCATTTAACCAGTGATGGGAAGACAGTAGGTAAGGACACCGAATAAATCATGCCATAGTCTCAGACTCAAAAGTATTTAGGTTTCAGACTAAGCTGAACTCGGTAGTAAATACAAACCCGATTTCCTAATGGGAGGGTATAGAAAAGACAGTCAAGACTTTTCTTGGACATGTATTGTGAAAGGATGAGAGGCAAAAACGGGCACAAGTTGCATCAACAGAAATCTCAACTAGGTATTGGGAAGAAATTTCTAACCTTGAAAGGAATGATGCATTGCAGCAGGGGCTCAGAGAGCTTGTGAAATATCCATCAGAACATGTTTGGACAAGGTCCCGGATAACCTTGGCTCTCTTGGCCCTGCTTTGGGGGTGGGGGTTAAACAAGATGCCCTTCAGAGCTTTCCTCCCACCTTCTGTAATTTTAAAATATAGATTAGAAGCATACTTAAGATTTATGTCTAGAGTCCAAAATAAGTCTGAGAGAAGAAACTGAAATTTAGTTACTGTTCCCAAGGCTTTTTGTGTAAACGTAAAATATCAGTAATTCGGAATATATTGTTATCAAAGACAAATGTTTCAGATTCATATTAACATAAATAAGGCAAGAATTAGTCTTTCAGCTGTTAAATAGCATAAAATCTTTTTTTTTTTCTTTAAGCTTATCTTCAGTCTAATCAGGTCATGGGCTGGGGAGAGAAGGCAATTGAACTACGCTCAGTGGAAACAGGAAATCTGGAAGGAGTATTTATGCACAAGAAAGCACAGAAGCTAAAATTTCTATGTGAAAGAAATGACAAGGTACAGAGATGATTACAGTGTGGTGATTTAGCAAAAATGAGTAATAGTTGACTATGACACTATTTAATCTTTGTAACTTTGGTTTTACATTGATTATATCTTACCTTAGTATAACTTCCCCATTCAAAGCAAATGTAGTCACTGACCCCACAAAGCATTCACTACAGATATTCTGCACTTTCACACCACCCTACTTCAGCCAGTTCTGTTGTAACTCCTATTTCACCGAGCCTTAACTGATACCAGAGGTGATAACAAATACAGACATTGCTAACTGGCCAGACTCCAGCACAACAGGTTGAGTGGGGAGGGCTAGTGAGCCAGCCCTGATAATGCCCAACTACAGGACTGCCTCTCCCGGGCTTCTGAAATTACAGGCAATTCAGAGCAGCCATCATGGGGAAAAAAACCCCAACATTCTAACATTTGAGATATTGCAGGCACTAGAGTATGGATAATCAAGTATGATTTTTTGCATGATGTTCTTGATAAATGTTCTGTGAAATCTCCTTAGTCTCGCTGACATATTTAGAAAACTGGGGCCCCAAAACTGTTTGGATTAATTAATTATTTTTAAATATTCTCTTGTGCCTTTCCAAATTGGAAAAAAATATTAAAAAAAACATATCCCAGTTGTACCACAAGCACCATTTCACTTTTAAAAGTTTCTCATGGGATTAAAATTAAATTGTGAGATATATATATAGAGATATATATATAGATAGATAGATATATATATCTCCTTGTATTTGGGACTGTGGCATTCTCTCAGATTTCCTGTATAGATAAAAATATTCTCATAGATGTAAACTAACAGTAGCTTCTTTTCTTTTTCTTTTTTTCCCCTTTCAAGGTGTTCTTTGCATCTGTACAGTCAGGAGGCAGCAGTCAAATATACTTTATGACTCTTGGTCAAAATGTATTATTCAACTGGTAAATCACATCAAAATGAAGGATGCTTTGAAATTCCCTGTAGGTAGCAGTGTAAAATGCTCAGAGGTAATATACACAAATTTGCACTTTTTACCTACAAAAATTTTGTCAAGTTTGGAAAGGATTCCATTTTCTTGTCAAAGTATTGCAAACATGTTTAGTTTGTCTTCTGAAATATGTTGCAAACCAAGTTGTATTCACAGTGTTAGGAGAGAAGAACGTTAATGAAGAATGTAACCAATATAAGAAGCTCCTGTACTCTGAAAAGTGTATGGTTTCATTTTCACAAATGATGTAATGTTGTTATCCTTGAACTGAAGTCTCTTTCTTTTTTGGACAACATCTGTAGGTAGATATAAAAACACAAACAAGGTGGGTGACAAGTTGAAATCTACTTTATTTTTAATTGGGTTTTGGCTTGTTTTGCATTTTAAGCAAGCTGTTACTTTTTCACCAAGACTCACTTGTCCAAGTCTTACAATCAGTGAAAGAGCAACTGTTCCTGATGGGGCCCAGCGCAGACTAGGAGGCTTGAGGGACCGTAGTATCCTGTGTGAGGCAGACAGGAGCATTTCACTGCAGAGTTGTAAAAGCAGCTACTTCTAGACATGTGCCCCATTTGGTAGATTTTACAAAATGCAGGGGACAGACTTCATGTTTCTCTCAGGGCTGGATGCCTGAGCCCATAGACACAGTTACTGTAGAATGTATTTGTAAAAATAGTTTAAAGAGTAGTTTTTCAAAATCATAGATGCATAAAGCATTATGGACCTGAACCTGTGACACCTATTCAGACACAGGACCCATACTCATATGAGTTGATTTAAAGGCACTACCCCATGTATATAAGGGCACAGGATCAGGCACTTTCTTTTCTTCCCTTCTTGCTCTTTCAGCATCAAGTCTTCATGAATTTGTGTGTAAATATAATCTTCCCACAATGGATGTTAAGATTAACAAACGTATTCTTAATATAGTTATGAAAATATCCAAAGAGTTAATCTATTATAAATAGAAAATATAAATAATTTCAGGTGCTTTCTATGCTAATTACATCTAAATAAAGCTGCATCCTCTAGTGTTATTGGTGCCAGTGTTTCTGCATAAACTCTGTTCTCAGGGGCTTGTAACTTGGCCATAAAACTATACAGATATAATATATATATATATATATATATATACACTATATATAATCATATACTATGATTAAATTGTAGAGTTTAACGCAATCCTCATTTAGCTGATTTTTGGATGTGCTTTGAAAATGTAAAGCATCAAATGTAATACAGAAGAGCTCATTCCAGACATGATACAGTATGGATGGTGCTGTAGGCAAAAGTGAAATCGCTAGCTACAGTGTTTGAAAATAGCTATTTTTTACTTGAAATAGGTGATACTGAAAGGTGCAGGGAAAGTATGTTGGAATATCTGGTAGTCTACCTCAAGGATGACAATTCAAAGTTGACTAAGAAGGGGAGTAATAAAGTTGTTAACTGGTAGCTGTTTTGTACAGTACGTCAGGTTAGGTTAGTGTTAGCAGTCATGCTGTGACTGACAGGTGCTCAGACTGCAACCATCAGCTCCAGAACTGGTATCCTTGTGTATGTCAGCAGAGAATCAACCTAGGGGCTAATCACCCTCCCCTACTTCCCTGTGTCAGCACCTCAACTGCTGCAGGCAGAGCAGGGATGTCTGCACTGTTGCTGTCTATGTTCTTTGGCTATACGGAGGACTGCACTTTCCAAAGTTATTAACCTAGCACTTTTCACAAGCACTAGCTTATCTCAAAACATATAGTGTTTTTTATGAAGTATTTTCCTTTTAAATGTTTTAACTTACAGAAAAATTAGCCTAAGGCCATACTAAAAAATATATGCAGTTAAATACTCAAAGTGGTTCTTAATGCATGCAAGTAATCAGCTTGTGTGCAGGCTTAAAATCTGAATGGTGTACTGTGCTCGGGCAGAGCTGTGTGAAAACAGGAGGTCTCTGTCTATTTGTAGTCACGTTCCTACCTGTTGCCAGTGCCCAGGACTGGGACAAATGAACAAAACATGGCTTGGGTCCCTATGCTACTGAATGCTGGGCTTGTTTTGTTCAACTTTCACCAAAACAAGAAAACAAAACCCAAACCTGAAACAGAAACAAAAGTTAACAATTACAGGTAAAAAATAATTTGCAGACCATCAGAATTACAACTTACTTGCTTTTGACTGTGAAGAAAGTACAGCTTTCATTTTGTACGCAGTAGGTGTGCAAAACTTGCTTGCAAAACTGCTCATGCTATAGGCAGTGATCCAGGCTGCCCTGTGATGTTCTTTAAAGTGTGCTTTCTGCATTACATGGATGCATGTGAATTTTTTCTCTCCCATTCTGGCATCAACAGGTAGGAGGCAGATTTTTCCTGATGCTAGGCACTAGTTAAAAAGAATTCAACAGAGAACAGTGGGAATTTAGAACAACCTGTACAACAGATTAAAGAAGCAAATGTGATCAGACTTGTTTAATATTATTGTAACAGAAAAGTGTGCCAGTAAGTTGACACTGTGAAGATGTTCAGCTTCATACCAAGAGGGAGGAAAAAAGCACAACTTCAAGAGAGGGAATGTGCACTATTACACTGAGATTTTAATTTTTCATTCTGTTTCCTATTAGCTCTCTTTTCTTTGCAACTATGATTCAAGGCAATGGGTTCGATTTTATGTGTCACTTTGCATGTAAAACCATTGGAATCATTGGGGTTACATCCATGTGTAAACATGGAAAGAATGAGGGCCTCAGAGGTGAATGTTTTTAAAGGATTTAGAAGAGCTATTGCAAATAGCAATAGCAACTGGATGCAACAAGAAGACTGTGACATTTTATCAAGAGAAAAATCACAATGGTTGAAGATGAGAAAGAGCCCAGAGACGTTGGCAAGAGTAACAGGAGAGAGTGGAAGTGACTGAATAGGAGGAAAAAGCTGAATAAATAGGAGTAGCCAAAGGGGAGGGAGTGAATGTCCAGAACTGTGTATTGCTGTAGGAGGAATAAAAAAAAAAAAAAGGTTAAGAGATGTTAAGGAAAAGAAGGTAACCAAAGAAATGGAAAAGTATCTAGAGTGACCACGTGGTCTGAACAGTGAATGAGTGTTCTGAATAACTGTTTCAGCTCAAAGCAAAAGCTGAAAGGCTGGAAGAAAAAAAATAATCCAGAGACCCAAGTTTATCCTGACATAAATTTAACTATGCAAAATGTCTATCAGACTTGTAGTTTCATTTTGTGAGGTGTTTCTCGAGCTGTACTCTTTCACTGACTTTTGAAACCAAGGAGAAAACTGCTTATCAATGTGTTTTTCTAGTAATGTCACTTTGATGTGAACAAATGCTATAGGGACAGAAGGGCAGAACATTAAGACTCCATGTTAGTAATCCTCTGGTACATACAGTAGCCTAATGGCAGGTGGTGCTTCTAATGTTACATTTGCCAAACAAGATTGCACTAACACTGCAGCAAGATAGTATGGTATGTGCCTGCTTTCATTTTAGGAATGGTGAACTCTATTCTGCAGCCTGAACCTTGACACATGACTTTAAAACCTGGGAACAACGCAAGCTATGTACTGTACATTATGTATTGTTCTCTAATGTTGAAATTGTACAACTGAAACAGTAATAAAAAAATACTCTGAAACTAATATTGTGCTCGTAAAATTGTTATATTGGCATAAACTATTGTAAAAATCATAGAAAGCTTTGCTATTTTTTTCTAAATCAAGTCAGTATCCCTAAAGAAACATCTACATCTGCCCACAGAGACAAAATGAATGTATTTCCTTGCCATGAATTGAGATGTTGAGGTGACAGTGAGAGAGTTCAGCCTCGACAGAGTGCTAGGAAGGGTGACAGCCAGTGCTGTGCTGTGTGTTCTGCTAATGAGCTTCACAAGTGAATTTCTGTGCTTCCACTTCTTTCTTTACACAAACACCCAGCGGGATGAGGGCAGCAGAACTAGAGCAAAATGACAGCTTGCAGGCACTGACGCTACAAGAACCGGCTTCTTTTGTGCACATGCATCAGCCCAAATGCCAGGTTAGCCCAATTCACTTTCTTGGGTATACTCATGGAGTCTTTGTTGCCACATAAAAGATTTATTGCTATATATGGGTGTGATAGCTCAGTGTAGCTGTACCATTTAAGAGTAAGAATTAGGAAATTTGCCATTTATGCCAGTGTTGGGAGTTGGAAAGGGTGAGGGCATGAGGCAAAATTTCTCTTCATTTTCTAAAGTGAATATCTTTTATCAATGTTATATTTCTTTTAAGCTAGCAGAGGACGTTTTTTTACAGCATTTGATTTTTGGTGTGGGATCTGTATTAGAAGTTTAATGGTATCATGGTTGGCTGATTGGGGTTTTTTTTTAGATTTGCCAGTCGTTATTGTTCTTTCCACCAAAAGTTATTTCTAAGCTTCAGTAATACAAGAACACCTGGTTTATCCCACACTAGTTACTTCAAATGAATTTCATTCCTCAGCACAAGAAGAAAGAGAGCAGGCTTGATTTCCAGGACTACTCTGTCTGTTGGGACAGGAGCTTTTCTCTCCTTTTTATTTGCTCACCTCCTTTAAAATCAGGAATAATTGTAATAAGTAGAGAAGAGCAAGAATTCTGGCTTCCTGCTTCACGGGTGATTCAGTTCTACAGCTATGACTCTCTTATAAAACAAACAAAAAAAAAGCACAGTGATTCATAAATGCATTATTAGTGGACTGGGAGATGTCATTAATGTTTCTTATCAGGAGATAATAGGTACTTTTTTCTAGAACCAGCATGAGAAATCTTGTATCCAGCCCCACATATGTGAAAAGAACTGCAGGTGAGGACCCAAGGGTTTACTCTTTTGTGGTGATTCCTTACAGTTTTCTGACTGTAGATCTGTGTTACCTTCCCAAAGGTTAGTAACATGTACAGCCAGAAGTGCTGATCTTCAAGACCCTGTTTTTCCCCTTGCTTCTAATATTGTCAGATTTTTCAGAGCAGGCTACAGTTTTCACCTTTTGCTGCCCAGAGATGAGAGCAAATAAAGGCAATTTCAAATCTAACCTGCAATTACTAGGTTTGGGGTTGATCTACCCTGTCTAGACTAGTACTAAAACATTATTTGTGGGTTTATCCAGTATATATGCTAAGCTGTGGCAGGTGCTACAAGGAATGTCAGAGGAAGTGTTTCACGGGCTAGTAACTAAAATCTCCTCTCCCACCCCTCACTCATTGACATTGGCTGACATGCAGGTAGGCAGCACACCCATTTAATCAGTGGTGTTCCGGTAATCGAGTAATCATCTCATCCTACCCTTAAATATTCTGCAGCAAACATTGCCTAAACCTAAAGAAAACTGGGCACAAAAATGGTACTCATTAGTGTGACTACTAAATAAAATTAAACTTATTTACAACAAAATAAAATTAGTCTTTCTCTGATCATTCTTACTCATGATCCTCTCCTGCTCCCCATCCTGAGTTGTTCAATTAAAATACTATTAAGAAAACAGGTTGCGAATTGCTAGAAACTGAACCCCCTTGGAGACAGAGGACTATCTACCCATACACTGATTCGCCTGATCTAGCTTCCAGCATACAAGCATACTGGACTTCAACTTTCTGACATCAACAGATAAGACCAGGCCTCAGCTTGCCCTTTCTAGAGGTAGCAGCCAGGATCAAGTTAATACATAATTTCCTTAGTCATCTCCTCCTCCACACACACTTCATTCCAGCCCTATATAGTTCTACGGCTGCATCTTTTTTTGTGTTTTGTATTCTGTAAAGTGCTGCACAAGATCAGCATATCCATGCCAAAAGGAAATAGCGAGATGGCCGTTAGATTTTACTCAACATAAGCAAGCAACTCTTTTCATGAGAATCTGCAAAGTCGCCAAAAAAAAAAACCAAAACAAACCAGGCAGGGAAGGCATGAATTAGCAGGCGCTAATAGGGAACATGCAGAATTTCTCTCTTCTGGGTAGAAACTTCAGCACCTTAAGGACCCTTCAAATTTAACTAGGACTTGGCAGTAGAATTGTCCTGATAAAGTTATATTATCCATGTTGCACCTAAAGGCATAGATAAACCAGTTTATATCTCACCACCACAAAACACACTTTTGCAGACAAAACAATGCCAGTCCAAAGTGAAAGCATTTGGGAGTTTGTCTCATAATAGGAAAAACTACAATATCTTTTTTAATTTACAGCTATTTGCCGAACAGTAGAGCTAGGCAGTAAGACACAGCTACATACACACAGAGTGCAAGTTACATAATATATCAAACAAACTGTAAATAGCTTTTTATTATCTCTTGCTGTTGGAGCTCAAACAAAATGGCATTTTAATTTTAGCTTTGTTTTACATTTAAAAGTAGTTTTTTTCGCAGTACCAAATTGCTCTGGAATGAAATTGTTTCTCCAAAGACCATCATAAAAGCTAGCTTACGAGTTCAGTTCCATGTTTAGACAGCTGTAGTTAAGTTAAATGAAACATGAGCAAACCTGCAATCTATATGTCTTCTATAGATTCTAAAACCTGCACAATAAATCAAGGTTCCACATAAAAGTGGAAGAGATCTTCCTGCTGATAGCCCACCACTTTCTTAAACCGCTCTTCAAAGTGCATAGGGCTGATTAAAGTGCAAAAGGATGTCTGCTCAATCACCTCAAATGTTATTTTAGCATTATTTAATTGCTTCCTGTTATTTTCTATGTTGATTTTAACAAAAGCATCTAGGAGATAATGGTGAAATGTATTAGAAAGGCTTTTTCATTTTTGTCCTCAAAACACTGTGGCAAATAACTGTGCTTTACAGTAAACTTGCATGATAGCTAATTTTTCTTCTTAATCTATGGCATCACTTTTTATGCTTTTGTGCCTCTCATTTCTCCAACATATAGTCAATATAATGTTGAATAGGAGGACATTATACATTCTGTTAAACAGCCAATTTCTCACTGGCATTGCTAGAGAGGCTAACTGCTGTTTTTCTTGAGGTGTGTTGTACATAAAAACTGAGATACTTCGCTGCTAATTATGTCTGAGAATTTGAGACTATGTATTGATTCACCAGAGGTCAACACTGGTATGGTTCAGCACGCTTAGTTGTAGGTATATGAAAAATCATATTGTCTTCAATAAGCTGCTTACATGCCCCGATGGAACAGGCTTGACATAACACTGAGCTCTCAGCTTTCGTGATTCTGAGACAGACATTTGCTGATGGCTCCTCACCTTTCATTACTGACTTGCTGAGTATTTCTGAACTTCCAGTTTCTAATACCATCACATCCGTCCCACTGGCCAGGTATGACAGGGAAACCACATCTAGAGGAACTTACAGGCACAACCAGTCATTAAAACATGCTGTTGATGTGCCATCAGCAAGAGATTTACCCTGGTCCAGCTTTGAAATTGGTATCTTAGCTAGACCTCTGCTGGCGAGAAAGCAGTTAACAACAAGTTCCTAAGAGGGAACTATCTTGTATCTGAAACTACAACACATACAGATTTTTCCAAAATTATAAAGTATTAACTCTATTATCAGGCCATATCAGTCTATTATCCCTCCACAAAAGCTACAGGTTCAGAGTTTTCATGGCTGAAACCATGGTGACTTACAATAATAAAAAATCCTGACAGCAGATATACATGTAACAATTACCTCTGCTATAAATAAAATACCTTTCTTCTGCAAGTCTTATCACAAGCACAGATAAAAGTGGAGACAAGCTGGGAACAGCCCGTAGATTTCATCATTAAACCGACAGATTCATTTAATAGCTGAAAAAAAGTCTAACCTCAGCTCTCAAGGTAAGGCTTGTATGTGTTGTGAAATCACAGCCTGTGCGACCTCAGTAAAAAGGTGCTTGGGTCGTGTTCATTCGTAAAGGCCATATTATCAGTCCACACAACAGATCATGTGTTTGCCAGGGAAAAAAAAAAAAAAAAAAAAAAAAAAAGACCATTTTACTCACTACCTTGGCTTCAACATGACCATCAAGAATGACTGATTTGTTCTGAATTTTGTAAGGAGTGCACTGTTACATAAAATCCATAAAACTCATACCATACCTAGGGCAGTCTAAAGGCCAGAAAAGGCTTGGGGTTTTTACCCCCTTATCTAGTTTTTCAGTCTGTTTTAAATGGTTCAGGTAACAGGTTTTCCAATTTCCCTAAGGCAAACACTCCACAGTAGCAAAAGCAGTACACTAAGAATACAATCATTCTCAAGCTGTGAGCTCAGAGAGCAGAACTGCTTCTGGCCCAGCACATGAAGCAGCTCTGCCTAAGCTGCAGCCCCACTTTAGTCTTCTGGATTTCCAACATCTATCTAGACCAGTGACACTAAATCCTGAAAACGCTCCTGTTCTTTCTCTTTCTGCTCTTTTATCTTTACCCCTTGGTCCTCTCTGTCCTGCTGCTTTACAGCCTAATGTTTCCTCTGAGATAGAAAATATATTAGCATATATTAGCAAGTGCTAGTAAAGTATTAAATACAAAGTTCTTAATCCCCAGAAGTTTCACGAATATTGTAAGTGACCATGGTATCATAAAGAATAGGATGATCTGGATAGTAGCAGTGGGATGAGAATCAACAGCAAAATAAGTAAGGTCACGCACTTAAGGACCACTAGTGTTTCTCCTAATTGATGGAAACTCAACCATTACTGTTGGGAACAACAGAGAAGACCGACCCAAGGAGACGTTTTCAACAGCTGGATGATTACCATTACCAACACACTGCAACTGTGGAAAAGGTAAATGCGGCTTTTAGGAGTTAGCACGAAACACTTTCCATAGCAAGTAGGAACGCCTTCATCTCGAGGCAGAAGCAATAATGAGAGTTGTGCCCTTATCCAATATCGAGTATTATCCACTTAACACGGGATGAGGAGCAGGTGCAGCACAAAGCCCGTCGCGGGCCGGAGGGAACACAGAGCCTGTCCGCTGCCCGGCCCG